GGTGTGGGATGCAGTATGTGGGGAGAACTGGGAGAAAATTAAAAATCAGGTTTCAGGAACATAGAAATAACATTAAAAAGGGTATGTTAACCCATTCAGTGCCAGTACATTGTAATAGCTGTCCCTTTTTTAGTTTTAATACATTCAAATGTATAGGTATAGAACAAGTGAGCCTGAATAAAAGAGGTGGAGACCTAATGATAGCTTTAAGAAAAAGAGAAGGTTATTGGATCCATACATTAAAAACCATGAAACCAAGAGGTCTGAATGTGGACTTTGATTTAATTTGTTTTTTGTAAATTTCTATTTATTTATTTTTAATTTTATTTTATTTTTAATTTTATTTTTATTTTTACTTATTTATTTACTTATATGTATATTTAATTTTATTAAAATTTTTATTTTATTTTTTTATTTTTATTTTTATATTTTTTTCCTTTTTTATTTTTTATTTTTTTTTATTTTAGTTTACTTCATTCTATTCTACCTAATTATGTTTATTTATATTTATTCCTATTTTATTTTATTTTTCCACTTAAAATGCCTTCTCTATCAATTAGAGGTCTCTTAATGTTATTCCTATTTCTCTCTTTAATATACATGGGATGTGTTGTTAATTTGTTTGTTTTCTTATCAATAAACATTGTGGACTTTCATGTTCAATCGTCTGATTGAAAGTGGAACGCATTCTCCCTGCCATTGCTGTATATGTGAACGGGAACCAAAGTGAGGCTTGGTTAGCAATCCCGGAACGCATGACGCAACCGGAAGTAAAGTCCGAAACCGGAAGTGAACAACCGAGTTGATTTTTTCGCGCCAGAACTGGACGGATTTAAATGGGAGAAGTTTCTATGTTACTGTATGCACGCTTATGGACAATATTCTGTTAGATGCCCCTGAGGAAGTTCATTATTGAACGAAACGCGTAGGGCTGATGTCCTTTACTGCTTAGAGTATTCTATATATTGGGCTTATGTCCTTTATTGTTTAAAGTATTTTATATATTTTTTATTTATTTATTCTTGATTTTATTGTTTATTTGGCTTTCCTGCTCCACTGGACCCTGACTGGGATTCGTGTTTTTTCCATCAGAGCTTGATGTGCCTATTTGCCACTTCTATTTTGTAAGTGTATCTATTAATAAAGTGTGTCATTTTTTACTTGGATACTCTGCACTATTATATATTTTTTTCCTCCTATGCATGATATTGATGTTCCACAAGTCCTGAGGTTCATACATCATTGTATCTGATGTGCCTTCAATCAAACTGCTTTTGTGAGTGCAACAAGTTATATTTATAATTTCTATTCTGCAACAATATTGCGCTATGTCCGTCTTTATTGCTTTTGTATTGTAGATAGCCATTTTTTTGGCACTTTGTTATTATGTTATCAGTATCGCCACACCTCTAGATTTCCTTTTCCCATCATTACTATAGTACGACAATTGTATGCGTCTGGATCTAAGCTTTGGTTGAAACTTACCCTTGTAGTGGGTTTCCTGCAGGAAAATTATGTCAGCTCCCTGCCTGTCTATTTCTTGTGCCAGCATAGTGCGCTTCATGGGAGAGTTGAGTCCCCTTACATTCAGGGACATTAATTTAGACGGGGGGCTACCTCATGTCTCGGTAGGAGAAATTAAGAATACGCAGCATAGTATGGTGCAGTGAAGGATGGTGGAGGTGGGGTCAGTGTAAAGGGGGCAAACTGGGGAGAAACAGAAACTATGTATAATAATATGATACAAGGGTGTCATATTGGTAGTGAGCTTGGCGCTGCACTTGTGGGTAATGCTTCCATGTCCAGTAATGTGGGGATAAGTGGGGCTTCCACCAGGGGTGAATAATAGAGCAGGACGGTAGATCCCCTTCCTGCTCCATGCAGACCCTTCCTACTCCTTGCTGTCTCTCCTTGCTGACCCCTCCTGCTCCTAAGATGTAGCTTCCTATCCCTGCCTTTCTTCATACACAGCGCCAGCGGCCTGCTGGCCGACGCCGGTATTGCACTGTTTTCTAAATCTGAAAAGAAAAATACCGACACAAACTGAAGAATCTGGGGTGGTAGGGGGGGTGGGGGGGGGGCAGACGCCCATGCTGTGTACAGCAGAGATTAATTCACATACACTTTTGGAAAGTATAACCTGAGCCTTCAAGTTGAAAAACAAGAAATTCAACATAAAATATTAAAAGAATTTTATTATACTTTTACAGATTTTAAACTTTTTGTGTGTTGATTATGTCTTGCTTATGTACCATTAGTATGTGTAGTTGTTTTCGTCAAGGTCAAGATATATGTGGCAAACGTGCCTGTGCCACGAGCTCCTGGAGGAGCCTGCTAGCTAGCCTCCTGCCCAAGGACTATGGGCCATATACAAAGACCCTGTTCGGGAGTTAAGCCTCCCCAGTCGCCATTAGTGGCTTGCCCTGGGTGCCCCTGGTTCGGCACTTTCCCTTCATGCAAATGGAACTGAACACTGGCTCTTTGGCGGCCGTTCGCATGAACCAAACCCTTGAATAGTCCTCAGCAGTACTTAGCTGGGGTGCCAGGCAGTCTGTCACAATATGTATTTGCAACAGCACGATCACATGTACAGATAACAGCTGATACTGAGGTGATTAGTCCACCTAAACATTTTAATAAATTGTGTTTGAAGGTTCTGAATAAATCTCCTGGAATAATATACTGAAAAGTTGGCAAGTCTATGGGGCCCCTATGCTCGTAGTGCCCCCGGGCAACTGCCCAGCATCCACATGCTTTAAGACAGCTCCGAGGCAGGCAGTGCACGTGAGACAATGCATATACCAGTGGCGGATCCAGGGGGGGGGCAACGGGGCAATTGCCCCCCCCGAGAATTCCGCCGGTCTCCCTCCCCTGCCAGCCCTGCAATGTGCCTGTGGACGGAAGGGAGATCACAGATCTCCCTCCCCGGTCCGCAGGCACTGTGCTGGCGGCCGGCGGCGGAGGGAGGGAGTGAGAGGGAGGACCCGGAGCTCAGGCTGCAGCTCCTCCGGGTCCTCCTCTCGTGAGATTTGAAGCGTTGCCGCGGTTACCACGGCAACGCTCCAAATCTCGCGAGAGTGAACTCTAGCCCGGGAGCGCGGGCTAGAGTTCACTGTAACCACTGGGACCACCAGGGAATCACCACTGGGACCACCAGGGATCGAAATATGTCCCCCCTCCTCCCCAGTAAAGGTAAGAAGGGAGGGGGGACATAGGATAATATTTATTTTAATTAAATAAAAAAAATATATATATATATAATTAAAAAAATCCACACACACACATATATATTGCCCCCAATACTGCCCCCCCAATACACACAAACTGCCCCCCCAGTCACACAAACTGCCCCCCCAGTCACACAAACTGCCCCCCCATTCACACAAACTGCCCTCCCCATTCACACAAACTGCCCTCCCCATTCACACAAACTCACACAAACTGCCACTCCCCATTCCACACAAACTGCCCCATTCACAAACTGCCTCCCCATTCACAAACTACCCCCCATTACACAAACTGCCCCCCATGCACAGGCCTTTACTTGCATACCTTTAAGCCTGCATGCTGCCCCCCGATTGGAAACCTGCCCCCGATTCCTGGGCCTTACGTTCACTGAGCTAGCCCCATTCACTTTTGAGCTGCCCCCGATTCACGCAGGCCTTTACGTTCACTGGGCTATACGTTCACTGAGCTATCCCCATTCACTGAGCTGCCCCCCAGCCACTGGGCTGCCCCATTACACAGGCTGCCCCAGCACTTTTGTACTGCCCCCATGCACATGCTGCTGATGGAAAACCTGCCTTCCCCATTCACACAGAGCCCCTTCACAGGCTGTCCCCATTCACTGAGCTGCCCCCCCATTCCACACAAATGCCCCATTCCGCACAGAGCTGCCCCATCCCCGTTTCACTGTTGCCACTCCCCGATTTCACTGGGCTAGCCCCCAGCCTGGGCCTTTGTACGCAGAGCTGCCCCCATTCACTGAGCCTTTGTTCACTGGGCTGCCCTCCCCATTCACGCACAGGCTGCCTCCCCATTCCACTGGAAGCACCTTCATACACTGGGCTACTTACCCCAACACACCTAGGCACTGCCCCAGCCACGCACATACTGCCCCATGCACACATACCTTTATACACATACTGCCCCCGTTGGAAAACACTGCCCCAGCCTGCACACACACCCTTCCATACACACTTGCTGCCCCCCATTCACACAAGGCTGCTTACATACACACACACTGCCCCCCATACACACACACACACTGCCCGCCATACACACACACAACTGCCCCCACATACACACATTGCTCCCCCATACACACACACATTGCTCCCCCATACACACACACACACACTGCCCCCCATACACACACATACTGTCCCACACATACACTGCATCCCTGACATACACTGCCGCCCTCACTCACACACTACAACCTTCACACACACACTGCACCCCTTACACATAGCACCACTCACACACACCACTGCTCCTATGCCCTACTACAGCCCCATTTCCCAGCAGATCTCAGGTAAGTTGTCAAACTGTTCTTAAACGGTTTGACTACTTACTGTGGGAGGGGGTCCCGGCACTATTGACACCATAACCACTACACTGAGCTGTAGTGGTTATTGTGTCTGGATTATTTCTTTAAATAATCTACAAGTGCCCCTCCCGAGATCAGGCTCTGGATCCGCCACTGGCATATACATGTATACAGCGTTCTTCCTTACTGAGTAATTTGGAAGATTATAAAGTACAAAGGAATAAGCAGATACACTGTAACATATTGAGGTCACATGGTTGAACCTTGAGAGAAGTACTGCGGAGATAGTTTGGAGAGTTCAGAGTGAATGGAGAACAGCGGTTGGTTCAATAGGTCGGTACAATTTGATGCCAGGTTGTGAGTAAAGTGGCGACTTGTCTGAGAATGAGAAGGAATACGAAGAGAGCATTGTCATTTGTGGGTAGGAATACTACAGGCCATTGGAGGTAGCGTGGACAGGTTACCTTGCGAAGTGTCCTGAACAAGGGACTTCATCCAAGAACATACATCACTACAATGGAAACTAAAACTAAGCAAGCAGTATAGGTAGTCATAGCTGAGTTCAGAAGACAGTAAATTAACAAATAATAAAATGGGTCATTTGGAATGAGTAGGAAGCACGGCTGAAAGGCAACAAGTTACACAAGTGAAACATTCCAGGGTAAGATTTAATAATCGATGTGTATGCTGGAACAATTAACCATATGGAGACATTCTGACAGCAGACCATTGACAAATGTTTTTCCCCCCCAATTTTATTGAGGCACCTACACCAATAAACGTATCCCCTACCTTGTAGCGCTGGGACCAGGACTCTGCCTGCGTCGGGGTACACTAGTCTTCATGGGGCGCAGGTCTCCAGCTGTCTGACTCCACTACTGTATTGCCCGTTTTGACCATCACCATGGATTTGGACTTTTTGGAGAGGAGACACATGTGGTTTCCCTGTGGTTTTGATTGCACAGTTCATGTGATAGCGCTGGGAAATAAAGCACTGGGGATGGTTTTGGTATGAAGAATGCCGTGGCTTTATCCCCATGGTTGTACTTCCAATTTAAATAAATTAATTGGTCTTCCTGCTCACTGTTTTGTAGTGAGCTTGACTTGAATCTGTCTATTGGTTTTCTTCTTGATGTTTAGATTATTCCTTAATTTCACTCTGTTCCTTTTACCATCGCCATTTACCTCTTTCCAGGATACAAGACATCCTTGGTCTATTTGTTCTATTGTAAGTATTTTTTGTCTCTTTGTTGCACTCTGCCTATTTCCTTATTTTGTTTTTTACTAATCTTGTCCATTTTGCCATTTCCATTGTCTGTTCAATTTCATTTGAACCTGTTTCTTGTGCATTAATCATGTTGTTGACTGGTCCTCACTTGTGTGCTAGAAGTAGGATGATGTGACAAATGGGGATGTGAAGATGCATTACACTAATAATGTGTGTCGGGCACTGTCCACGTAAAATATGTCTGGATACAATGTTGAACCTATCCCTATGGGAATGCAAGACAGTGCTAAATTTAGCTCATTGCATATGTTTCATTAATGTGGTTACTTATCCCTCTTCCCAATGTGATTGATTGAGCCTTGTCTCTGAGCTGATAACTCTGTTTTCTTGTCTTTTTTTTCCATGATGAACTCACCGTAAGTTCCTTGATAGCAGATTAGATTAATTCCCAACGATGTAGTTTTTCCATCCGATCTTGATGTTTTTGGGTTCCTGTAGATTACTTTTTTCATATCCGAGATCTTGTCTAAAGTCTGGTCTCTTGTAACCCTTCATTGGTGACCTGGTTCCTAATCAGATTTAAAATGAATTATATTTCATTTATTCCTAGAAACTTTACCTTCTTTGCACGTGGATCATTCCACCACTTAACAGAGGGCTCTCCATTAGGTGGTGATTTGTCACCTTGAACCTTGTTCACTTAGTCAATCTCCTACACACTGGATTCCATTAACAACCTAGTAGCACATGGGGTGCGAAATATTGCAAATAGTACAGAACAGCTATAGCATTCTGGGCTCATTGTAAAGCAAACATTACTGGACAAAATGACGAGATGGCTGCATGTACTGAGATGGGAAAGTGCTAGATAATTTCATTTGTGGGAAAACAACAAAAGTCATAAAATATACCTTCTAGCTGAGACAACAGATGACTAAAAGGTTCTCTGCAACATTATAATCCACCCAATTCTTCGGTTAGCTCCTAATTGCTTTTTTGAGCATTTAAAAGAAAAATGGATTGCCTGAAGGCAAATGTCATCTACTTGCTGGGTGTGTGGACAAGCCTCATTTTATAAATAGTATGGGATTTCCTAGCCCAACAAGCAGGTGCTGGTAAAACCAGTTTCTCTCTTACTTTATGTGACTATTTAAGAATGCTGCTTTTCTTTTATTTTTTTTACCATAATGTTCTCAAAATCTACCTTAAGCGTAGGAATTTATTTGAGCAAGATAAAGGTCCTTGTGTTGCTTAATTTCTATGCAGAGGTCAAATGAAAAAGTAATGAGACCATGGCGGATTATAGGGAATAGGTTATAAGAGTAAACATGAGGGTGCAGCTCAATATTGGGATGGTAATCTCAACATTTTGCTCTGTCAGTGTATTTTTTTCATTGTTCATATATAAATATTGACTTTTCCAATTATTGATCTCAAACTTTGCTCTCAATTATGAGCACAGCTCACATAATATAAGCTTGTTTGACCATTATTATTTTATATCGGGGACATCCCATTCACATGGTGTATGTTTAAATTATGTTTGTTTACTTGATTTCTGCTTTTATAAATGAGTTACATGTTTCAATATTGCACGGTTGTATTATTTCTTGCTGAATAATACATCCTAACAGGGACAGTGTATAAATACAAAACAAAAATCAAATAACCATTTAGTATATTTACCTCCAATGAAAACATGCATGCATTTGTTTTTGTTTTCTTTTTCATTGAGGGTAAATCTAAAAACAGCTTGCAAAAGCTGCAGACCTCTTGTCTGCAGCCTTTACAAGACCTCCCACCCCCTTCAAACTGTGCCCAGACATTCTGTAGCTGTCCAATAACAGACTTCTTAATGTAGTTCAATGCACAGTCTGCAGCCTTTGCAAGCTTTCCCATTCTAACCCCACCCAGACATTCTGTGACTATCCAATCACAGACTTCCTAATGCAGCTCAATGAGGCGTCTTTGCAAGGCAGGTGCTCTGGGCAATTGCTGCCTCTGGAGTTTAGCTCCACTGAGCTAACAGGACCAATTGTCTGGTTGACAGCCAGGGGTAAGGGTGTGGTGTAACAAGGTTCATTTATATATAATTTCGATTGAACCCTGTACATTTTGTAAAATGAAAAAAGACACACTCCTCACACAGAAAGTGTTCAGTAAGCTAAAGTGCTTTAGGGCTCTGGAGTGATCCCTTATTGAGATTTATTTTCACGTTATCCCTGACATGAATTAATTTTCTCATTTGAATTTTTTTTTTTTATTATTCTTTATTTTTCTTGTGCATACTTTTACAAACAGGCCTGTAGCGCCACGACAGCGAGTACAAGCTTTACATTGGTATACAATATCATGACGGAGTTGTCAGCACATTTAGTTTTATAAAATGTCATGCTTGGAGTACTAGAGTAGCATTCATATAGATTAATTAGACTATACATACACACATAAGTAGATTGTCGTAACGTCGTTAGTGAGTTTACTGACTGTTTAAGCTAACATCAGTTACATACTAGTGACTGCAGTAAATGAGTATGCATATTTTATCCCGCTAAATATAACATTACCATTCAAGTGGTTGGTAACTGCTAATGATAAAGTTTTGCATGCTTGATATTGAACTCTTCTTAGGCTGATTACAGTAATGAGTAGACATCTTTCTTAGCTGCCTAAGCTTTGTGAGAGTGGTTGCAGGTTATGCTGGGCTAGAGCTAGAGCACGAGTGGCTATATTAAACTCTAAAGCAGCCTTAACCCTTATGATTAGACTGTAAAATGTCCACCCCAGGTGGTTTCCACGTCGGTCAGGCGAAGGGTCTGTGTTTGCCAGTCAGGAGACCAGTCTTTATTCAGTGAGGATAGTTTCTTTGGTGCGAGAAGCTTAGGTGTCTGCTGCACTACTGATATTCCCTTGTTAGCTGGTCTGTCAGGTGTTTGTCTTGGGCTGGTGAGAGATCCCAGGTAACCTGTCTGATGTGAATGATCAGTCCGTGCATTTCGGCTCCCTCTCTGTACGCTGCTTAGTATGGTAGGGTAATCCAGTATGCAGTGACAGTTCCCTTTTTGTTTTTGGTGCTCTGCTCATTGGGGTCTTAGCACCCACTCCGCCGGTTCCCGTTCTGACTGGTTCGGCGATCTGTAGTGTGCTCGGCTGTTATCAGGGTCGCTTGCCATGTGGTCTCCGCCATTTTGGAAACGGCTTTCTCTGCCTCAGCTCCAAGCGCCGGCATTGTGGTGTTCTGATGGGTCTCGGGGTGGGGACCGGGATCACCTCCGCCGGCTCAGAGGGGGGGGAACGGAGCCGGACTGGCCTAACCCCGGGTTGCTGCCTTACCACTGGTGGGCAGGATAGCCAGGCAGCGACCGTCCACCTCGCTTACCGCCCGAGCGGTCCACATCGTGTGACTTGGATCGCCCCTCCGAGAGACTAAAACTGCTCAGCAAGCCTCTCTGAGGGACCAGAGTGGCCTCTTGCAATGGTGCTCGGCAGCCAGTTGTCAGGTATGCGTGATGCCGGTTTTTGGGGGCTAACACTGGAGCTTTTTACAGGAGCTACTCCATTGTGCGTCCATTCAACCTGGCGGTCCGGCCCCGCCCCCTTGAAATATTTTTTATGTCTCCAACCATCTGAACTACATTTTGCCAAGATGGCTATTTTGGACTACAATTTGCCTTGACAACATGAAGAATTGCGCTGTTTAGTAAATAAATCCCCAGATGTAAAGTTATCTATTGTCTGAGATACACAGATTATTGTAAATTTTAGGCAGTAAATGTATTCTTTTTATAGAGACTTGGGCTGGTCCTTAGATGTATACACAGGTGTCCCCAGGGTAGCGACGGCGTGATTTAATTTGACATGGAAGGAAGAGGTTGGGAATAGGTACAGTCCAAGTTTTATAACAGGAAAATGAAATATGTGTGCTTCTTTTCCAGATGGTATTTAATTAAACCTTGAAATGAAGGAAGTGGAGCTAACATAATGGAAAGTATCTGTCCTTTATTACACTCGATAGCTACTCCAGAACAACAAGATTTGGCTAGAAGAATCATTTGGAAAATATTTCATGCTGATAAATAGTATTTTGGCAATCTTTATTTTAGAATGTTTTCACAATACAGACAAAGATCAGAGAACATTGCAGGAAATGAATAGCAGCAAATGTAGACATAAGGCATCACAAACGTTTACAATGAAAGTCTAAGAAAGAAATGTTATCTGAGCTTTATTACAAATCGAAACTTAAATTACAGAGTTTGTTTAATACCGGTAATGGCTATTGAAGTGTAAGCTCTACTCAGACATTCGATGTGTTCAACACAGCTGAGAGGGATTTGTTCACAAGTCTAGTAGTTAGGGTTAGGGGGTCTTAAGAGTAAGGGTAGCATTCTAATGGGTAGGTAGGTGAAGTCACATCAGTCTCAGGATTTGACCAGGAAACAGATCAAAATTTGACATTTGTGAAAACATGTTTGTTTTTTACGTCCATACAAGCAATAGTTCTCAGCGTGCTGCATATCCAGGACACTGCAGGAACACAGCTACATGACGCCCCTCCCCTGTCATTAATCAGACAGAAATCCCTCAATCCAGTTAGATGCAATTCTGACATTCACACTGTGCAGTACTGTGCCTGGGATCATTAAGAACAGGATCTATGAAGCCATGGTTACTGGATTATTTCTTGCCAGATTCTATTGCCTTACAACTAGTGGCTTGGTGTAATTTGGCTGTGATGGCTCTTGGCCGCTCTTCCCAGCTGGAATGTGTTCCCTGGGAAACCGATATCAATAGCCGGTCTCTGTATACATGACTATTGTCACAGCATCGTACGGAGGATCAGTATGTTCCCTGGGAAACAGATATGGATAGCCCAGTCTCTGTATACATGACTATTGTCACAGCCTCATACGGAGGATCAATGTGTTCCCTGGGAAACCAATATCGATAGCCCGGTCTCTGTATACATGATTATTGTCACAGCCTTGTACGGAGGATCAATGTGTTCCCTGGGAAACCGATATGGATAGCCATGTATACATGACTATTGTCACAGCCTCGTACAGAGAATCAATGTGTTCCCTGGGAAACCGATATGGATAGCTGGTCTCTGTATACATGACTATTGTCACAGCCTCGTACAGAGAATCAATGTGTTCCCTGGGAAACCGATATGGATAGCTGGTCTCTGTATACATGACTATTGTCACAGCCTCGTACAGAGGATAGCCTTACCTGCTCTCTGTGCGCTGTTATTGCGATACACATGTGAAGCTAATTGTGTTAGATACAATGAGATTATGGAATAGGATTACACACAGGGTTATTCACAAAAGTTTGAATTGTCCGAAATTCATTGTTATGTTTGCATATCCTTTCAGCTATGAAGAATAGCGATGTCGCGAACATGAAATTTTCGGTTTGCGAACGGCGAACGCGAATTTCGGCAAATGTTCGCGAACCCGCGAACCGGGCGAACCGCCATAGACTTCAATAGGCAGGCGAATTTTAAAACACACAGGGACTCTTTCTGCCCACAATAGTGATGGAAAGGTTGTTTCAAGGGGACTAACACCTGGACTGTGGCATGCAAACTCCGACATTAGGTCCCCCCCCTTTTTAGTATTTAGGGCCCCCACCCGCCGCTCAGGGGTGGGGGCCAGGGGGGAGGACCTTAGGTCCCCCCCTTTTTAGTATTTAGGGCCCCCACCCACCGCTCAGGGGTGGGGGCCAGGGGGAGGACCTTAGGCCCCCCCCCATTGTGATTTATTTGCCCCCACCCACCGCTCAGGGGTGGGGGCCGGGGGGGAGGACATTAGGTCCCCCCCTTTTTAGTATTTAGGGCCCCCACCCGCCGCTCAGGGGTGGGGGCCAGGGGGGAGGACCTTAGGTTCCCCCCTATTGTTTTTTTTAGGGCCCCCACCCACCGCTCAGGGGTGGGGGCCGGGGGGAGGACAGTAGGTCCCCCCCATATCATTGAGTAAACTTTGACAACCCCCACCCCCGAGCAGCAGGTGGGGGGGTTGTCAAAGTTTACTCAATGATATGGAATAGGGGGCGGACCGAACATCGCATATGTTCGCCCGCCGTGGCGAACTCGAACATGCGATGTTCGCCGGGAACTATTCGCTGGCGAACTGTTCGGGACATCTCTAATGAAGAATAGGATGGAGGGAGATATTGATAGGTAGCTATACTATAAGGACAAAAGTATTGGGATACCTGGCCATTACACCAACAGGGACTGTTATGACATCACATTCTAAATACATACACACTAATATGGAGTTTGTATTTTGCAGCTCATACAGCTTCCATTCTTCTGGGAAGACTTTTCACAAGACTTTGGAGTATTTCTGTGTGACATTTAGCCCATTCTTCCAGTAGAGTATTTGTGAGATCAGGTACTGATGTTGCATGAGAAGATCTGGCTCACAATCTCCATTCCAGTTCATCCCAAAGGTGTTCGATGCGGTTAAGGTCAGGGCTCTGTGAGGGTCAGTCAAGTTCTTCCACACCAAACTCATCCAACCATGTCTTTATGGACCTTGCTTTGTACACTGGGGCACCGTAAAGCTGGAATAGAAAAGGGCCTCCCCCAAACTGTTCCCATAGATTAGGAAGCATAACATTGTCTCAAATGTCTTGGTATGCTGAAGCATTGAAATTGCCCTTCACTAGAAATAAAGGGTCCTACACTACCCCTGAAAAATAGCCTTGTGCAATTATCCCTCCTCCGCAAAACTTTAAAGTTGGCACATTGCAGTCAGGCAGGTAACATTCTTCTTGCTTTAAGCCACTTAGCTGTAACTCAGACCAATGATCTGTGATAACTAAGACAGTTACACAAGCATATTATTAGTTGTTTAATTTATTAAAGCATTCCTGTCTGTTTTCACAAATGCCACAGCTACTTACTGCTTCTTTGAACATTCCCTCTTCCATCCCAGCTCTGACCCACACACATTTACAAATGAAATAATCAATAATATGCTTGTGTGATTGTCTTCATTACCATGGAAGATGTGAATGTGCTTGCTTTGTGAATGTTTTGTACAAAAGATTATTGTACGAGGTGTGAATGATTGTGCATCGTGCAGAGTGTGAATGCGTTGATCAGAGTGCAAGGTGTGAATGTTTTGCTGAGTGTGCACAATTATAGCCAATTATTCATTGTGTAAGGTGTGAATATTTTGCTCTGCAATAACCTTTGCTATCTGATGATTAATTTACCCCTTAGTAACCAGATCGTTTTTCAATTTTCTTATCACTAAGGACCAGGGCTGTTTTTAAGTTTCTGCAGTGTTTGTGTTAAGCTGTAATTTTCCTCTTACTCATTTACTGTGCCCACACATATTAAAATAAGTTTTTCTCGCCATTAAATAGTCTTTCTAAAGATACATTAATTTCATCATATCATATAATTTACTAAACACTTTTTCTAACGTTGACCCCCAAAATCTGTTACACATTTACAACCGCCAAAAAACACCCATGCTAAATAGTTACAAAATTTTGTCCTAAGTTTAGAAATACCCAAATATTAACATGTTCTTGGCTTTTTTTTTCAAGTTATAGGGCTATAAGTACAAGTAGGACATTCCTGTTTCAAAATATATTTTTAAAATGTATCAATAGTGACATTGTAACACTGTTATCTGTCATAAATCTCAGAATGACACTTCACATGTACATATTTGTTTAAAAGTAGACAACCCAGGGTATTCAATAAGGGGTATGTCCAGTCTTTTTAGTACAAACACTGGCCAAATTCAGCATTTATATTTGTTTGTGTGTTAAAAATGCAAAAACAATTATGAACGCTCACTTTGGCCAGTGTTTGTGACTAAGTGGCTACTAAAAAAGACTGGACATACCCCATTTGCAATACCTTGGGTTGTCTTCCTTTTCAAATGGTATACCCTCAGGGCCCCCCTCCCGCTGGGCTGAAGGGGTTAGGCAGTGTGTGTGTGTGTGGGGTGGGCAGTGTGTGTGTGTGTGTGTGTGTATGTATGTGTATATATGAGTGGGCAGTGTGTGTGTGTGCATATATGGGTGGGCAGTGTATGCAGTGTGTGTGTGTGTATATGGGTGGGAAGTGTATGTGTGTGTGTATCTATGGGTGGGCAGTGTCTGCAGTGTATGTGTATATTTATGGGTTGAGCAGTGTGTGTATAGATATGGGTGGGCAGTGTATGCAGTGTGTGTGTGTGTGTATATATATGGGTGGGCAGTGTGTGTATCTATGGGTGGGCAGTGTCTTCAGTGTGTATGTATATTTATGGGTTGAGCAGTGTATGCAGTGTGTGTGTGTGTGTGTGTGTGTGTGTGTGTGTATATGGGTGGGCAGTGTATGTGTATAGATATGGGTGGGCAGTGTATGCAGTGTGTATGTGTATGTATATATATATATGTGTGTGTGTGTGTGTGTGTGTGTGTGTGTGTGTGTATATATATATATATATGTATATATATATATGGTTGGGCAGTGTGTGTGTGTATATATGGGTGGGCAGTGTCTTCAGTGTGTATGTATATTTATGGGTTGAACAGTGTATGCAGTGTGTGTGTATATGGGTGGGCAGTGTATGTGTATAGATATGGGTGGGCAGTGTATGTATATATATATATGGTTGGGCAGTGTATGCTGTGTGTGTGTGTGTGTGTATATGGTTGGGCAGTGTATGCAGTGTGTGTGTGTGTATATATGGGTGGGCAGTGTGTGTGTGTGTGTGTGTGTATATATATGGTTGGGCAGTGTATGCAGTGTGTGTGTGTGTGTGTGTGTATATATGGGTGGACATTGTGTGTATATATATATGGGTGGGTAGTGTATGAAGTGTGTGTGTGTGTGTATATATGGTTGGGCAGTGTATGCAGTGTGTATATATGGGTGGGCAGTGTATGCAGTGTGTGTGTGTGTGTATATATATGGTTGGGCAGTGTATGCAGTGTGTATGTGTGTGTGTATATAAACACACTGCATACACTGCCCAACCATATATATACACACACACACTGCATACACTGCCCAACCATATATACACACACACACACTGGGCAGTGTGTGTGTATATACGGGTGGGCAGTGTGTGTATATATACATCACACCCCCTGCTTCCCTCTCACAAGGAGCACACTTACAGCATGGATGGAGGGTGAGAAGAGGAGCCTGTCTGCCCCACTGCTGCTGGAGGAAGATGGAGGGAGAAAACCAAAAACCATCACATTGTACAGGTAAGCAGGCCCATACACACACTCCCCCCCCCCCCACCCATATATTTGTACACTGCCCACCCATATATACACACATACACACTTCCCCCCACCCATATATATACACTGTATATGGGTGGGCATTGTATATATATATGGGTGGGGGGAAGTGTGTATGTGTGTATATATGGGTGGGCAGTGTGTGTGTATATATGGTTGGGCAGTGTGTGCAGTGTGTGTGTGTGTCTATATGGTTGGGCAGTGTATGCAGTGTATGTGTATATATGGGTGGGCAGTGTATGTATATGGGTGTGCAGTGTGTATGTATGTATATATATATATATATATGTGGGGGGAAGTGTGTATGTGTGTATATATGGGTGGGGGGAGTGTGTATGTGTGTATATATGGGTGGGCAGTGTATATATATGTGTGTGTGGGGGGGTGTATATATGGGTGGGGGAGTGTGTATGTGTGTATATATGGGTAGGGGAGTGTGTATGTGTGTATATATGGGTGGGGGAGTGTGTATGTGTGTATGTAACGGAGCTCCCTGTACTCCGACCGAGTACCCTCCGTTGATGGATGCTCCTAGCGCTTCCTGAGGACTCCAAACACTGCAGCCGACACCACAACCACCGCAGACTCCACAACCGCCGTAGCTTAACTGGAGTCTCGCCGTCTTCCTTCCACCCTGGATCAGCTTCTGTCCTCCAGGACCGTGTGGGGAAGACCTCTCCTCCAGGAGAGCGTAACAGGAACAGCTCTTAAAAGAGCTAAGTGATTAAAAGCTCAGGGGAGTATGCAGAGCATAGCAATCCCCAGTGTGATATAGCAGTTCCCTCCAATAACGAGACAAGGCTACGTATTGAGGATCAAGAAGATCTGTCAAAACCTTTATTCCCTTGGGACCAGCCAATAGAGTCACCACAATAACATTGTTGTGAAACCTCAATAAAATCACAAACAGTCAAACCATATCAAGAAACACACAGTGACTTATCACAACACAATGGCACATTTTTAAAGGGGTGGGGGGAGACAATATTTAACAGTAAATATCTCACCTGCCTGCAGAATTAGCAATATGCAAATCTACCCGAATATGCAAATGAACCAGTCTTGCAATTCAGGTAGTGCATATTGCTGTTGCTACCAACAGAGGGCACTAGACCAGCTAGTGACTGCACCTGGGTATTCCTCTGGGGTGATGGGGCAACACGCTGTAGGGACTTGAGGGGCAGAGGCCAGCGGCACTCTGCCCTGATGCCAGCGCTTCTGCTGGGAGGAGGGGGGTGCAGGCCAGTCCTGTGACAAGGGGATCGGTAGGGCAGAGGCCAGGGGCGGTCTGCCCTGATGCCAGCTCTTCTGCTGGTATAGCCTGCAGGACATCAGGCTCTGGACAAGGGACAAAGGGAGGGCAGAGGCCGACTGCACTCTGCCCAGCTGCCAGCTCTTCCGCTGGGGGGCTTGGGACATAGTCCGGCTCAGTAGCCAGGGGAACGTGGGGGTCAGTGGGGGTTAACATCTCCCCTGTTAACCCTGGGGCCAAGTTAGGAGTCAGCTGGGGAGGGGAATTCGTACTTACCCCCTCCTCCTGTTGTCCCTGTGAGGGTAGTTGGGGATCTGGACAGGCTGTCCAGCATCCCTGTAGGTCGGGCACAGAGACCACGGTCCCCTCTGCGCCATCTGGGAGATTGGTGTCTGCCCTTGGTAGGGTAAGCTGCCGCTGGGGAGATAGGGTGCTGTGCTCCTCTCCCTGAAACACAGGCTGCCGCTGGAGAGGGAGACCGCCTGTCTCCACTCCCATAACGTTGTCCTGCTGCTGGAGAGAGAGACCAACTGTCTCTGCTCCCTGTAGGACACACTGCTGCTGGGGAGGAAGGACGACACCTTCGGCTCCCTGTAACTTGCACTGCTGCTGGGGAGGAAGGACGACACCTTCGGCTCCCTGTAACTTGCACTGCCGCTGGAGACTAGGTGTCCATATCCTCAACCTCCACAGTTGTCGCTCAAAGGCCATTGCCGCACTGTTCTCAGCACTCAACTGGCGCATTACTTGGTGGACCACCTCGTTCGAAAGGTCTGGGCCATAGCAGACCAACCGCCTCTTTACCTCCTCAATGTAAGCATCGTCCTCGTAGCGACGTATCCTGTTGAGGTGCTCTTCGCAGGGCTCTATCCATCCCTGCTCCATGCTGCTGTAGTTAGGGACGCTGCACAGTGGCTAGCGTTGCCCTCAATAACCTCTCATACGATACCAGTGTCTCCGAGCTGCTTCTCCTCGCACTAGGACGCCATCCCACCGCTGCCACCAATGTAACGGAGCTCCCTGTACTCCGACCGAGTACCCTCCGTTGATGGATGCTCCTAGCGCTTCCTGAGGACTCCAAACACTGCAGCCGACACCACAACCACCGCAGACTCCACAACCGCCGTAGCTTAACTGGGGTCTCGACATCTTCCTTCCAACCTGGATCAGCTTCTGTCCTCCAGGACCGTGTGGGGAAGACCTCTCCTCCAGGAGAGCGTAACAGGAACAGCTCTTAAAAGAGCTAAGTGATTAAAAGCTCAGGGGAGTATGCAGAGCATAGCAATCCCCAGTGTGATATAGCAGTTCCCTCCAATAACGAGACAAGGCTACGTATTGAGGATCAAGAAGATCTGTCAAAACCTTTATTCCCTTGGGACCAGCCAATACAGTCACCACAATAACATTGTTGTGAAACGTCAATAAAATCACAAACAGTCAAACCATATCAAGAAACACACAGTGACTTATCACAACACAATGGCACATTTTTAAAGGGGTGGGGGGAGACAATATTTAACAGTAAATATCTCACCTGCCTGCAGAATTAGCAATATGCAAATCTACCCGAATATGCAAATGAACCAGTCTTGCAATTCAGGTAGTGCATATTGCTGTTGCTACCAACAGAGGGCACTAGACCAGCTCCATAGCCAAACCCACCTAGTTGGTAGCAAACCTCAGCAGTACAGGAGAGAAGGCAATACATTTCACAGTACACACACACACTATAAACAATTACATTACACACACCCTGCACCTATAATGGGTACAGGGTGACTAAAACATAAGATAAATAAAGCAGCCTACATAAATAGTCTGTCTGAAGGTAGAATAGGGGCTTTAAAGGCAAATACATCAAAGAGTCATAGTCACAGGGGAGGAGGCTGGCAAGCAGGCCTCTCCAGTACCAAGTGGCGAAGGGCACTTCGTCACAGTGTATATATGGGTGGGCAGTGTATATATGGGTGTGGGGAGTGTGTATGTGTGTGTGTGTATATATGGGGGGGAGTGTGTATATATGGGTGGGGGAGTGTGTATGTGTGTATATATGGGTGGGCAGTGTATATATGGGTGGGGGAGTGTGTGTGTGTATATATGGGGGGGAGTGTGTATGTGTGTGTGTGTATATATGGGTGGGCAGTGTATATATGGGTTGGCAGTGTATATATGGATGGGTGGAGTGTGTATGTGTGCATATATGGGGGGGAGTGTGTATGTGTGTATATATGGGTGGGCAGTGTATATATGGGTGGGGGGAGTGAGTGTGTATGTGTGTGTATATATGGGTGGGCAGTGTATATATATTGGTGGGAGTGTATGTGTGTGTGTATATATATAGGGGGGTATTGTGTGTATGTGTGTATATATATATGGGTGGGGGGAGTGTGTGTGTGTGTGTGTATATAGGAGTGTGTGTGTCTATATATGGGTGGACAGTGTATATATGGGTGGGGAGTGTGTGTGTGTGTGTGTGTGTGTGTGTGTGTGTGTGTGTGTGTGTATATATGGGAGTGTGTATGTGTGTGTGTGTGTATATATGTAGTTGGGCAGTGTATATATATGGGTTGGCAGTGTATATATGGATGGGTGGGTGTGTATGTGTGCATATGTGGGAGTGTGTGTATGTGTGTATATGGGTGGGGGCAGTGTCTATGTGTGTATATATGGGTGGGTGGTGTATGCAGTGTGTATGTGTGTGGCCCATGCCTTGGGTTTGGCAGTGTATATATATGGATGGGTGGGTGTGTATATATGGGGGTGTGTATGTATGTGTGTATATATGGGTGGGGGGAGTGTGTATGTGTGTATATATGGGGGGGAGTATGTATGTGTGTGTATATATGGGTGGGCAGTGTATATATGGGGGGGGAGTGTGTGTATGGGCCTGCTCACCTGTACAACGTGATGGTTTTTGGTTTTCTCCCTCCATCTTCCCCCAGCAGCAGTGGGGCAGACAGGCTCCTCTTCTCACCCTCCATCCACGCTGTGAGTGCTCCATGTGAGAGGGAAGCAGGGGGTGTGATGTCACTCCCTGCCCTGCCTGCCATCCTCACACGGAGCACTGAGCAGGGAGAGAGAGGAGAGACCTGGCAGTGAGAGGGGTGCTGCCAGGTCTTACACTGAATGGGGGGTTATTTGCAGATTGATGGGTTGCAGGGGCCCTTCAACTCATTATGGCCCCTGCAACCTTCTTACAGCACTTTTTTTTTGCATAACTTCTGCTGTGGTGATCTCCACAGCACAAGCATGACTGTGCTGCCGGGCCCTCGGTCCATGATCGATCTGCCCAACCTGTCAGTCCGCCCCTGGTAATGAGTATCTGTGCATATAGATTTATGTGAGTGGGCCAGATTGTGGGCCCGAACAATAAAAGGAAACCTACCAGAACCTATTGATGAGCAGTGAAAATATGACAGAGGCAGATGACGGAATTGTAGTGCTTGTAAAGCAACCGTCATGTATGACCAAGGCACCTAAAGGAATGCGAGATGTTAATGCCAACTATAAAATAAAACTTTCAATGAGTACAACCTTAAACCAAATTACCAACCTAATAAGGCCAAGTATTGGCAAATTTGTTACAAAAGGTTAATTTTCCTGCAACAAATCCTGTGGGAACATCATGACAAATGTCAGATAAAAGATAATTAAACAGCCGAATTCAGTTATTTAACCTCTTAAGGACTGGACTGTTTTTGCGATGTTGTACATTTGCGACCAGGCATATTTTTACACTTTTGTGGTGTTTGTGTTTAGCTGTAACTTTCCGCTCTCTCATATATATTGTTTTTTTCAGGACAAAAGGGGCTTTCTTTACATACCATTATATAATATACCATTTATATAATCTCTTGCATTTTAATTTAAAAAAAATAAAAAAATATAATGAAAAATTGAAGAAAAATACATGTTTTTTGACTTTTACTTGAAAAATATTTTACTCATCTACAAAAGCGAATGAAAAAAACTGCTAAATAGATTCAAAATTTTTTCCTAAGTTTAAAGATACCCAGTGTTTACCTGCTTTTTTGCATGTTATAGGGCTATAGGTACAAGTAGGATATTGCGGTTTCAAAACATACATTTTTAAAATTTATCAATAGTGACATTGTAACACTATTATCTGTCATAAATCTCTGAATAACACCCCACATGTACATATTTTTTTTTTAAAGTAGACAACCCAGGGTATTCAATATGGGGTATGTCTAGTCTTTTTTAGTAGCCACTTAGTCGAATACACTGGCCAAAGTGAGCATTCATATTTGTTTGTGTGTGAAAAAAGTAAAAAAACTAAATTGAACGCTAATTTTGGCCAGTGTTTGTGACTAAGTGGTTACTAAAAAAGACTGGACATACCCCATTTGCAATACCTTGGGTTGTCTTCTTTTGCAAATGGTATGCCATCATGGGGGTAATTCTCATTCCTGGGCTACCATATGCTCTCAAAGGCAACGTAACCAACCTGGCCATTTTCAATGTAAAAATATTTGACCCATATATTTGACACTGTAACTTTCAAAAATACTATAAAACCTGTACATGGGGGGTACTGTTTTACTCGGGAGACATCGCTGAACACAAATATTAGTGTTTAAAAACTGGAAAACATATCACAACAATTATATCATCAGTAAAAGTGCTGTTTGTGTGTGAAAAATGCAAAATAAAATCACTTTCACTGACAATATCATCGCTGTGATATGTTTTACTGTTTTGAATCACTAATATTTGTGTTCAGCGAAGTCTCCCGAGGAAAACAGTACCCCCCAAGTACAGGTGTTAGGGTGTCGTAGAACGTTACAGGGTAAAATACAGTGCTAGCAAATTAAATTCTCTGGACTGTCGGCCTGGGTTGGTGGGCAGGTCCCTCAAATTGCAATCAATAAAATTACTTAATTATGTAAAAATATTACATAAATATGCACGTAGAATTTAAATATATATGCATATTTATATATTTGAAGTCTACGTGTATATTTATATAATTATTTATGTAATTTTGTATATGGACATATGTATATTTTGTATTATTTTTATTTATATATACATAGATATATATACAAATTCATTCTAAGTGTATTTTGATATAAATATATATATTAATTTTAAAATACAGTTAGAATAAAATTTCATATAGATATAATTTTTTTACATTTTTATTATTTAAAAATTTTTTATTTAATTTAAATTACTTATTTATATTTTATAATAATAAATATACAATATATAGTTATTATATATATTATATATATACACATGTGTGTAATTTAATTATAAGTGTATTTTATATTAATATATGTACATATTAATATAAAAATACTCTTAGTATGACATTATATATATGATATTTAGACATATATTATATATATATATATATATAATTTTTTTTTTAATTAAGATTAACTTTATTTTATTTTTTGATTTTACACTAGCAGGGAGACTGCCTGTCAGCACAGGCAGTCCCCCTGCAGGCAGACAAATGGACACCTATTGTGACCATGTGATCGCTGTGTTAAGCGATCACATGGCCCCAGGGGTCCTAATCCGGTGTGGGGAGACTGTCTGGGCTGCAGGCAGTCTCCCCACACCGGGAGCAACGCTGATCGCGACCGGGGGAACGACAGCGATCAGGTAAGTAACTATGACCGTTAGGACGGTTCAGGACGGTCATCGGTCGGCAATGGGAAAATGACGATGACCGTCCTGAACCGTCCTCGGTCCTTAAGAGGTTAACCCCTTAAGGACCACGGATGTACTAGGTACGTCTGAAAAAAATTGTCATTAAGGACCACGGACGTACCTACTTACCCGATCGCCGCCAGTCCCCCGCCGACGATCGGTGTTGCTCCCGGTCTAGGGGGACTGCCTGACAGCCCAGACAGTCCCCCCTCTGCAAATTAGGCCCACGCGGGCCACATGATCGTTCTGACAGATCGGTTACATGGCCGCAATAGGTGTCTGTGTGTCTGCCTGCAGGGGGACTGTTTTAACTGACGGGCAGTCTCCCTGCTTCTGTTAAAAAAAAAAAAATAATAATTATATGTGTATATATATTTAAGGCCTTGGCCTGTAGTTGTGGGAGGTGCTTGAATACCCTTTAAAAGGTCTGCCAATCCTCTCCCACCTTACCGTTGTTGGTCTGGCGAGTTGAGAGGATTACTTCCCGTCAAATCACCATCTTGTTTCTTACCTGCTTTCCCTCGCGGTACTGGTTCCTGGCTCCTGTTCTCTACTTACCTGACCGCTTGCCAAAAGTTGCAAACCCACGGCCTCCTTCCGGCTTCCTCTGAGCACGGTCTCGGCATGGCTGGTGGTTCTAACCATAAGACTCTTACCGTAAGGCAACGGTCACAGCCGTTACAAGTCATCGTGGTAGAGGTCTATTCATGTCTTCGTACGTTCGTTTGATTTGGCATTTGTTTTGTTTTTAGGCGCTTCAACACGGTTAGTTTGTTTAAGTCATGAATTGATATAGATATGTTTCGGTTACTAACGCACGCACGCAGTCATTCGTTTCGTTCCCCTCACATTGCATTCATATGTTTCATTAATCCACCTTTTTCATACGAACTCTCCTTTCGTATCAGTAGGAAACAGGTGAACGATTATGGTGAAAGCATTTATTCTATACAAGGGATTCCCCCCCTTTCGGCAGTTATTTGCTGCATTTTATGTTAGTTCACGAATACAGTCGATTTGCCTGGTTTTAAGTCATATGACCCTATTGGTTAGAAAGGTTATTACAGTTTACATTTAAATGGATATTATTTGTGGCTATTTTAATACATTGCACTTTAATCCACACTAATCTATGCATAAAAAAACAACAACTTGGAACTCTCAACCTCTGACATTAAATCTAAGATGTGTACTCTTTTTTTCGGGTTGAAATCTCCTATTCACTATGACATTTGGCACATTCGTTGATTATCTGAAAGGGTTACTTCAACGTCAATGACCACTTCTTCTTGAAGTGGTCATGAAGGAAGGAATGTGTAGGTGCAGTGATTCTGCTTGAAACACTGAACATCCAGAAATATTTCTACTTTTGTGCCGGGAGCTAGTTACACACACACACACACTCCATACAAGATCCAGTGCACTCACACACTCACACATTAAACAGGAACTTCAAAGCTCACAGAATGTAATAGTTTTATTTAAAAACACCTAGGCAACAATACTGGGGGTTTAGTTACATTATATGATCATACATTGCATAAACCTGCCACAACGTCAATGTACCCCATCTTTGGCAGGTCCTACTCTAACAGCCTAATGACTGCTCTTATGAGATTAATCCACTTACTTGGGAAATGCTTCCACCTGGGACTCTCTGCACGTCAAGTTTAAATAGGGCCTTGGAATGAGACACCTGTGACAGGGAGGAGTGCCAAACTGGGGAGTTGGCTTAGACTCCCAAATAAATATATATATATATATATATATATATATATCTATCTAAGATTGCTGCACTCGCCTGAACATGCATACATTATAATGGTGCTGCTAGGGCCATTTATTTTTTTTTCACACAACATAGAAGATCCAGATCGGAGTTTGAAGTTGCTCTTTAGCATGTGAGTGACGGCACTGGATAATTACATTTAACGCACATTGCAGATTCACTATGAATCTGCCTGCAGTTACCTCATTAAAAAGACAAATTCTGCTCTTTAAGGTCTGTTCTTATTGTACTTTACCTCCCAAAAGCATTTTATAGAATGAGTGGAACTGCTTGGCAAACTGACAGCGGTAGAGAAGGATTAAGATCCCACAGTGCCTTGTAATGGGTACAATTAGGGTCTCATATCATTCTACACATAGGGATGGTTAATGGGGCCAAACAGATTCATGGTTCTGGGGCTCTCATCGAACACCTGGGCCCTTCACGGCTGCCTCGGGCCACCTTATGGTTAATCCTGATTGTTTTCCTTTTCTCTAAACAAGGAGGTCTGCATACAGCATGCTCAAGTTAAAAAGTGTCTAAGGCTGTCTCATAGCTGTGAGAGTTTTACAAGTCACTGCAGGGCTCAGTCACTCTCAGAGAGTGGGCTAAGGGGGTGCTCTGTGCAATTATACAAAGCTGTGGGGGTGCTTTACCCTTCAAGGACACATGACATGTGTGGCATGTCATGATTCCCTTTTATTCCAGTTTGGTCCTTAAGGGGTTAAAGTGACCCTTTATGAAAAAATTGTAATTATGGCTGGACTCACATGGAAAATAATGCCAAACATGTTGTAGTCCTGCGTTAATAATATGATAATAAAATAATAGCCTTGGTACCTAAGGAGTTAAAGGATAAAGCTGTGTGAAGACAAAAAAACACAACTATACAACTATGCTATTCCAAGAAATCAAGCAGACCCAGGGCCAGGAGACTAACACAGTGAGGGCTGTGGCTCATTAGAATATTTTGACATTTCTGATGGGTGTGAAGGGCTGACTGCTGGAGGACTCAGGACCCACCCTGCAGTCTATCAATGCAGCTGGAGTCTGCCTTGAGGAGGAGTCAGGGTGAGTGTCAGTCAGCTCCTTCCTCGGTGCTATTACTGAGTGCTAGCCGCTAGAAGAGGAGGTACCCAGGCACAGATATTATTCTATCTTCCTCCACAGCTGCCATCGGACCTGGGGTCTGGGTATCAGTCCTGATCCTGCTGAGGAGGGAGCCTGGGCATCCCTTATTCACTGATATCTACCTCCAAGAAAGCTGAGGATCCCGTGAGCTTTGTGTCTGCACAGGGACAGTTTGTAAACTGCTTCCTCTGATCCAGTCTGTGGATCCCCCGTCCCCTCTGATACAGTGTATCCAGTTTGTGGGTGCCCCCTGTCCCTTCTGATACAGTGTATCCAGTTTGTGGGTGACCCCTGTCCCCTCTGATACAGTGTATCCACTTTGTGGGTGCCCCCCTGTCCCCTCTGATACAGTGTATCCAGTTTGTGGGTGCCCCCTGTCCCCTCTGATACAGTGTATCCACTTTGTGGGTGCCCCCCTGTCCCCTCTGATACAGTGTATCCACTTTGTGGGTGCCCCCCTGTCCCCTCTGATACAGTGTATCCACTTTGTGGGTGCCCCCCTGTCCCCTCTGATACAGTGTATCCAGTTTGTGGGTGCCCCCTGTCCCCTCTGATACAGTGTATCCAGTTTGTGGGTGCCCCCTGTCCCCTCTGATACAGTGTATCCAGCTATTCCCCCATCCCCTTCCTCGGACTGTCTGCAGGGATGATTGGACTAGCAGCTAAGGTAGCCAAGGACCGGGCTCTAGCTGATGGCTATGGCACCAATGAAATGGCTTTGAAATACCTCAACCAGGACTATGAAGCCCTAAGGGATGAATGCTTGCAGTCTGGGACTCTGTTTAAGGACCCCTCCTTCCCTGCTATCGGTTCTACTCTGGGATTTAACGAACTGGGACCAAATTCAAGCAAAGCCCAAGGTGTGGTGTGGAAGAGGCCCACGGTAAGTGTGAGTCAGAGTGGGGAGGGTGCTCAGACACTGCCAACAGCAGTGGGAACAGGGATTCCCTTAAAGGGACCGAGCTGATAACTCCCCATGCTCTAATAGTTCTATAATTCATATAATAATAGATCAGTACTGTGTGCAGACTGACCCAATCCTGCAGGTTCTGAGTCACATTGAGGAGGGTGCTCTGACACTGCCAGGAGTTTATTAAATCATAGTCCACAGCTCAAAGTCCTGGGATTGAATGAGTTAAGGTATCAGAATGTAGCTCTAATTATCAAATAAATAACTTTTTTTGCAGCCAGACTCAGCTACTAGTTTATACTGGGTCCCAGTGCAATGAAAACTAAAGTAAGGGGTGATTTTATAACCTTGTAAATCACACAGTATCGTTTAGTGAAGGTTTGTCAGGAAGTGATTGATGGTGAGTAGTAACTGAAAGGAAATTATTATTAATCATTATAGCTTAGTGTCACATGCACTGCCCATATGCTGGACGTTTTATTATGTCATTTCCTTTATTAAAGTTATTGTATAAATGTAAAGACTGTTTTAAAGGGATATGTAGTGGTTATGGTGGCAGCAGTCCCCTGGCATCGTCCTACAGTAAGCTGTCAAACCATTTATGGACTGCTTGACTCTTCCTGGCTACCACAAAATAGTGTTTAGTGAATCCTCATATTGCAGTAACAGGACCTGACTGAAAATGATTGTATTTACGATCCTCTGCATTACAGGTAGAGTTAATGGGTAGAAAAATAGCCAAGATTACTGCAGGTCAATAACAGTCCTGGTTAGTAACTGGCAGCGAAGGTTGTAGTTTTGGTTACAAGGAATTTGTGGGGCTTCTAAGCTGACAAGCACGTTATCCACTAACTGGGCCTGTGCATGCGCAGAGCACTGTCAACACTCTGTGAATGCTGCAAATGCTATTGGCTGACCAAGAGTGCATTCAATATTGAGCTGTCAGGACACATCTGAAGGATATCTTTGGAGAAAAAAATAGAAATAATTGGAGATGCTGGGACAGAAACATGTTAAACGTCCCCATATAAAACATAAAGTTGGAATGTATAGTATGGAAATACATTGCCATTGACGGATTGTGGAGGGGACTCACAAGACTCCCCTTGTAGGGGATAATCACATTATGTATGTCGCCAGCATGCAGTGCGCACTAACGACAGACGTAAAATATGCACATAATTGACGTTATTCAGTCTAGAATGGAGTTCTGGGCTGTCAATGTCACGTGTGCCGGGAGTGCAACTAGCTACAAGTGCAAATTACTCTGAATGTGCAGTGTTACAAAATGAAACATTGCACATCCAGACTCCAACACAATGACTACTTCAAAAAGCAGAAGTGGTCATGATGGTTGGAGTAACCCTAAAATATGGCACCAGACATTTGTCAAAATGCAGTATGTCTTCATGGAGAGCCATAATTACTGTTCATACCGAGCATGCACGCAGATTTTAAAGTTCTAAAATGTGAATGTGATGAAATCTTGTCACAGGGCGTGGAATTGGGTTGTTGACCAATTCAGGTTTAACAAAATAAATTACTAAGTGGATCAAATGACATTAAAAATGGCATTGTATACAGGACATGCATACAAACATCACTGTAATTATATACTTTTATTTTCTAGTAAGGGAACAATTGATAGAAAAAAGAAAAGGAAAAAAAAAAACAATTTAGTTGCAGAATGCATGGCCAGAATTATATTCACTTTTTCATGACTGCAGAACCTCCAGAGTGGTTCAGGATATTGGCGTAGGTTTAATTGAATAAGACAGGTGTTCAGTAACTAATACTAACCCTCAGGTGAGCTGTGAATTTGTTTATCTCCGGCTGTACTGGAGTTATTTTCAGGCTATCCCCTAAAGTGGAATTTGCTTTAAACTGTAAGTGAATTGAGTTCCAAATTTGGAAACATCCTCCAAATTAGCTATTGCAGTATATGACTTCAACTAGGTTTTGTCTAGAATTTCAACTCCTTTTTAACCTCTAAAATCTTTAAAATTCCAATAATTCGCAGTTTAGTGATATCTTTAAAATTCCAATAATTCGCAGTTTAGTGAATAAGTCTATGATGTTTACCGATTAGCTACTTGTATGTTCTAGCATCCTATTGCTAGAAATCACCATCTGTCTTGGGAACCAGGAGTGTGGGCATGTAGCAGCTCAGGGATAATTCCCAGAGGCGTATAGAGTGCTTTATTTAGTGCTGGGGGAGAGAAGTTAAGTGCAGTTGTTATGGTAGCGTAATTAGTTGCCTCCCAGCCTCCTTGCATGCACAAGTCCTTCTAGAAACTGTGCTGTCTGACAGCTCAACTATTGATGTCAATAAAGGGGAATGTATGGTGCTTTTATACGAAACTCCATATAATACTAGAGTATCAAATGTAATTACTCACAAAGAGACAAATACTCCAATAATCCCTTTCACTGATGTCAGTAGCGAAACCTAACTGTAATACTACCTTTTAATCCTTCATTGTGTCGGAAGGTTGTGATGCTGAGTTCGGTGAGATGAGGATTGTGGGTATGGGTTAGGTAAACATTTTGTCTATAGAGGCCTGTTGTGTGCCTATATAATAATTAAAATATTACCAGGGCCAATGCAAGGATTTTTGGCAGTTCCTTTGTGATTTCTCCATGATAAATAAACTATTTATCTCTTCAAGTGTATGAATGCCAGATACTACCAGACAACAATTTTCCAGTATTCACTATTCTATATTGGTGATATACGTCTGGTAAACCTTCGTGAATAATTGGACCCAAATTGGGCAGTGGTTTACGGGACTCATGTAATTTAAGAAGGGTGGTTTGATGCTTAATATTTTTTTTTTTTTAATGCTATGCCTTTACCAAAGAAGTGAAAGCCAGATTAGTAAATACACTAATTATAAACATTATAAACATTGTATATGTTTGTTTTATGGTTAGCATGATGTAAAGATAAAATCTAATTTCCTATAAAGTGGTACGTTGTTTTTTTTCCATGACAGATAAGTGACGAAAGACCTTACAGAAAATCGTTGCTTTGCCCTTTACTAAGCCACCAGGGAAGGACACCCATCTGTAAAGAGAAGCCGTAGCTATAGGCTTTTTACACCCATAACTACATTTAAAAATTAACCTTTGTGTATACAATGTCCACATGTTCCATCTGGTGGCCATGTTTGTCACCAGACGGCACATTCTTTTAGAATGTTTTTGTTCTGAACTGTGTTTTTTTTTTTTTTTTTCTCTTAAGAAAACTCTGTATTTGGTCAGAGTAAAAGAAAACACTTTAGTCCCCACCCCCATCTTCACAAGGTAAATAAATAAATAAAGACTATAGCTGCCTCCTACCTCTGTTCCAGCTCCAAAGCCAGGTTCTCCCTGCAGCCTGACCTACCTTGCTTGACTCCACTCTCTCCCTCGCTGATGGGGGAAGAATATCAGGGAGGACATAAGCAGCACAGAGTGGGAAGATGTGCCACCATTGACTGTGTGGCCAGCATGCTCCCCGTGCTGGTGTCAGATGCCAAAGTTGCATAGAATTCATACTGGCCAGCTCAGAACTTTTGTATTATGACGACTAATGACACTACCAGAGGTGTAGGTTCACAGAGGAGTTAAACTCTGATGTGCAGCAATGCTACACATACCGATGCCAGGCACCATGACCACTTCAAGTCAGTGAATAGGTCACGCTGCTTATAGTAACCCTTTAACATGTTTGTAAAGTTTTAAAAATTTACTCAGATAACATTAGACTCAGATAACTAGAGTCCTGGGCTGGCTAATGTCAATTTTGTGTAACTTTTGATGCACAGCCTGGCATGACTCATTGGCTCACTGGCTTCGGTAACTATCAGTTTGATGTCATCCGGAAGGCAAAACGCCCGGCCTGGAACCACAGCATATAAATACCCAACAAAATCCATCTAAAAGCTTTTCAGAAAATGCTGAGACAGCAGACGTGCACTGCGAGAAATACATTAGCTGTATAGATTTATTTTTTTAAATCCTTAAACGATTCGCACAAAGTCATTAGTTGGCTAGCATTAAAAATTTTATCTTCTGAAGGACATTGTTTGCCTCATGCATCGTGAAATATGTTATTCAATTTTTAATGATCTTCTGCAAACAATCTGGTTTATTCACTCACATTTTTTTTAGTGAATGTAACATTTTAGGGCACAATAGTAAAATTGGGAAATTCTCCAAGTCAGCTACGTTTACAGTTCTGCTACGTTGGCCTAAATTTTGGTTTGTTTTCATTTTGAATTTCTGACAGTATAGTCTTTAAGGAATAACCCAATCTGGCTTTCCCGGTGTTACGTCCACTTGGTCAACCTATACTTATCTAATAAACACCAGGTTAAGGTTTTTATAAGATAATCAGAGATATAAAGTCTATTAAACCTGTAAATATCTGTACTTAGTAGGATGCAGCTGATTGAACGCAACGTTTTTAGCAGACAGACTTGGGATGTTCATCAGGTCTCTGAGCACCAAAACTGTCAAATTAAACTGTAAAAAAAAAAGCTTTTATTGTAATCACCCAGTCACTCTGTATTTATTTTATAGAAGAGCATGACTTGATTTGCTTGTTTTTATTGGTTATAAAAAGGTCCATCCTCAAGGCAGGTTTCTAGAAAAATTCTGAAGACTAATCTTGGTAACTCACATATTTCTTAAAGGGATTCTTTAGTGCCAGGAATACAAAGCTTTATTCCTGGCACTATCGCCCCTTCGGCCTACCCACTCCCTTGCACCCTCCCCAATGCTAAGTAATGGGTTTAAAACCCTTTATTTACTTACCTGATTCCGGCGCTGATGGTCATGGCTCCACCTCCTCTGATGTTACTGACCAGGGGGCAGTAATGTGCATGTGTGGAGAGTGCAGCACGCACATGAGGCCCTCCCCATAGGAAAGCATTTAATCATTGCATTTTCTATGGGGAAATAGCTGCCGCTGGAAGTCTTCATGCAGAATGTGAGGACGTCCAGCATCAGTTACCGGACCAAAAATCCGTTAACATCCAGGAAGTGCCGCTAGTGGCTGTCTGGAAAACAGCCACTGGAGGCAGACAGTCCTGCAATGTAAACAATGCAGTTTCTCTCTAACTGCAATAGGGACGCTGCATCCAGACTACTTCAATAAGCTGCAGTGGTCTGGGAGCCAATAGTGTCCCTTCAACTGCATTTGTCTTTATGCTCAGCAAGCTTTAAAGGAATGCGCCAAGCACCATAACCACTACAGTGGCAAACGACAGACACTAAGTAAGAAGTAAATAAATTCTAAAATTCTATAACTACTGTTACCAGAACCACTGCAGAGCTCTGCGAGGGTTATGGTGCTTGGAGTGTTAATTTAATCAACTGTTTCTACCATTGTGCCATAGGCACACATGCACCCTTACAACACCTGTGGGGATAGCACCATGGAAATTGAAGAAATTAGCATTGTATGCCTTGGCTGTGCCAGAATAGTTTTGGCAAGTGTTGTGTACATAGCCTAATGAAAACTATTGGGTTGTGCAGAAAGCTTTGGGGTCAGATAAAAGTCTGAAATGGAGGATCTGTCCCTTCATACGACATACTGACCCAGACGTGTTAATAGGAACACATACATGCACACTCTCTGATACACATTTCCTATTAATGTGTTAGTATGTTGGTTTAAACACACATTCTAGTTGTTATTTTTATATATCTCTGATAATTTGTATTTGCTGTAATTAATTAAATGAAGCAAGCGTCTCATTGAATGAAGTAAATGAAATTTTATCTCAGATTAGAGCAGATTTCTCTCCTGGGACTGATAAACGCTGAGTAATTCATTGTGTCTCTGTGTGTGTGGGCTACCCGGTCCATTAAAAAAAAAAAAAAAATGTTTCCCGCTTACTTCTTTATAAACAATACTTTGTAAATAAATGCCAAGTAGATATAGTTGTGAATTTATTTTTTTACTTAATTCTACAGCCATGCTCCACGTGTTTTGCTGTTATCGTTGGAGCTAGAGAGATTTACATTTAAGAGAGAATTATTATTACTTTGACTTTAATTGTCATTAATTGCTACATTATGTCATCGAACAGGAAGAGACCAACCAAAGTGGCCGGTGCTAACACTATAAATGACGGGAACCAGGAATACATATAAGAAAATTGTTGCATTCATAATTTCCCATGTGCTACTTTGTTGCAAAATAAACCTCTTCATATTTATGTTGTAGTACCCTAGATGTCATTAGAAGGTACAGCGCTAATTGGGTGTGGATATTTGAATAATTGAAAAGTTTTCTGTTAATTTAAATTTAGTATTACAGATTATTTCTTTCAAACCTAATCATGTTTTTGTACTTCCATGACAGTCAAAATCATAAATATGTCTTTAACATATTTCTGCTGTAGTGGTTATGGTGCCAGGCGTGACTCTTGGCGTCAAGAGTTTGACAGTTATACCAGTTAACAATATCCATCTCTGGTGCGGCTGGAGCTGTGTGAGTTGGTGCAGGGCTTGACTTGTTGGCAATGAGTGCTTAGCCGACACTCTCAGCTAATGAGCCAACTCTGCATGGTATCGCTCAGCTCAATGGGACTAAAGGAAATTATTTATACTTACCCCGGGAGGGTAAGCAGGCTGTAGTGGTTATGGTGCTTGGCGTGTTCTTTCCATCCCAAACTACTCAAAAATGCATTGTTTGCAAAAATAAAACTGCCAAATTGTCAGAAATAAAGATTGACAGTTATCGATTAATCACTTTATTTAATCAATTATTTTAGTCGTTTCAACGTACAGTAGCTCAGTATGGAAGCTTATGTGCTTATCAAAGATGCCTCTTCTGCAGTTAGAAAACACTTATATTTTTTGGTTTTTTTATGAGTCACAAGCATGTTTGTCTTCTCATTGTTGTGGGTACCCTTGTGGTCAGTGTTGCTATGCAGAAGGAAATCGTATTTTGTGTGTCATGATATGAATTCCTGAGGATGTTACTCATTGTCCTGTCACTGGCTACAATGAAGACTGGGGACCACAAAAGCTAGAATCCAGCTGTCAGAAAACTTAAATTTCGATGATGCTTTGCCACCCTTACAGCAGCAAAGCATTGTAGGAGTTGTAGTTTTACAATAGCTGGAGGCCTGTCTTTTTACTTCCCCTGATTTCACCCTTTTCCCATATTTAATGGCAGAGATCTGATAGAGTTTTCTGTCTTTCAGGATCTGTGTTCTAACCCTCAGTTTATCAGTGGCGGAGCCACTCGGACGGACATCTGCCAAGGAGCCCTGGGTAAGGAGAAGCCTGCAGCAAACTTTGTCACTGTTATTTACTAAGGTGTGAATTATTGGAATTCAAATTGTAGGCCCAAATTGCCAAACTTCTCAAAAATCTACACCCAGCTAGCCAAAGAATGTCATAAATTGAGCCCGGTTTTCATTTTGGCAATTTTGAACGAAATGTTTGAAATCACTTTTAATTCACAACAGTATAGAATGAGAATTTAAGGTGAATTTCACATTTAAGGTTAGAATAGCCGAGGTGGAAAAATTCTCTAGGTCAGCCATGTTTTCACATCAACTACTCTGGTCTTTTGATATTTGATATTCACGTTGAATTCTTACTTAACCCTGTCTGTGTTCATAGAAGTAAAATGCATGTATTGCTTCAACTGCTAAATAACATACTCATTCTCCGAGACCAAAGCCACCTTTACACAGCATATAAAGGTTTAACAATATCATTTTATCTTTATCACTAATCATAATTACAACAGAACCAGCGCCCCTTGTTAATATTTTTTTTTTAAATTTTGCAAATTACGGTAAGTTTGCTATAAATTTTTAATAAATATTGAACCATCTTATTTGTGTAAAGGAGAACATATGTGCTGTTAGCGCTAAATGTACTTTGTATTCAATATGCCTCCCAAGTGTTCCTACTTAGGATGGACAGTACCTAGTTTGGGACAAAATCCCTCTGTCCTTCTTTTCTAGGAGCTCCATATTGTTGGTGTGTCTGAATGTATCACAGAGCTCCACAGAAATCATACTCCCAGTAATGTGTCTGAGTGTGTAACAGAGCTCCACAGCAATAATACTCCTAGTAATGTGTCTGAGTGTATAACAGAGCTCCACAGTAATAATACTCCCAGTAATGTGTCTGAGTGTATAACAGAGCGCCACAGCAATAATACTCCCAGTAATGTGTGTGAGTGTATCATAGAGCTCCACAGCAATAATACTCCCAGTAATGTGTCTGAGTGTATAACAGAGCTCCACAGCAATAATACTCCCAGTAATGTGTCTGAGTGTATAACAGAGCTCCACAGCAGTAATAACAGATAGCAATAATACCCAGTAATGTGTCTGAGTGTATAACAGAGCTCCACAGCAATAATACTCCCAGTAATGTGTCTGAGTGTATAACAGAGCTCCACAGCAATAATACTCCCAGTAATGTGTCTGAGTGTATAACAGAGCTCCACAGCAATAATACTCCCAGCAATGTGTCTGAGTGTATAACAGAGCTCCACAGCAATAATACTCCCAGTAATGTGTCTGAGTGTATAACAGAGCTCCACAGCAATAATACTCCCAGTAATGTGTCTGAGTGTATAACAGAGCTCCACAGCAATAATACTCCCAGTAATGTGTCTGAGTGTATAACAGAGCTCCACAGCAATAATACTCCCAGTAATGTGTCTGAGTGTATAACAGAGCTCCACAGCAATAATACTCCCAGTAATGTGTCTGAGTGTATAACAGAGCTCCACAGCAATAATACTCCCAGTAATGTGTCTGAGTGTATAACAGAGCTCCACAGCAATAATACTCCCAGTAATGTGTCTGAGTGTATAACAGAGCTCCACAGCAATAATACTCCCAGTAATGTGTCTGAGTGTATAACAGAGCTCCACAGCAATAATACTCCCAGTAATGTGTCTGAGTGTATAACAGAGCTCCACAGCAATATTACTCCCAGTAATGTGTCTGAGTATATAACAGAGCTCCACAGCAATAATACTCCCAGTAATGTGTCTGAGTGTATAACAGAGTTCCACAGCAATAATACTCCCAGTAATGTGTGGGAGTGTAAAACAGAGCTCCACCGCAATAATACTCCCAGTAATGTCTTTTTTTTTTTTTTTTTAAATACTTTATTTTTTAGTAAAACACTTGACAATTATACAATGTATGGTAAACAATACTGTAGTCATGCCAATCCAACCATATTTTTGGCAGTTTTACGTTAACATATTTTCACATTTGTCTTGAGTCGCATGTCCTTCTAGTTTTTGTTTTTTATGATATAACTGTAACTGGAGTCCATAGACTGTGTAACCATCTGATTCAACATTGCATATGATATCATTTGTAGCGGTCTGTCTCTCCGGTGAGGTTTGCTTTCCTGACTCCTACATGGTGGCCTTTCTAACAGAGAAGGGCTATGCCCTGAGCCATTTTGCGGTAGTAATGTGTCTTTAAACTACAATAAATGTGTTTAGAAATCAGTCGGTGTAAATCAGATACATTATTCTTTTTATAAATTACATATTAATTGTATAAATGTTTTCTAGGAGGTCACCTCAAATTTATCAAAACAGCCCCGACCTTGGCCACACTACGACTTACTAACAAAAATTAAAGTGTTCACCTCTGTCTATTTGAAATTTGGGGAGTTTTGCAATCATACACGCTTTTCAACAGCACCTATTAAAGGACCCAGGGCTTCTTACATAGTACATTAAACTTTATTATTATAAGCAAAAATCAGTTGCCTTTAAAATGTATTGCGACACAATATTTAACATTGGAATGGAGCTAGATTTAGCAGCGTTTTTATAATGGCATGAATCATTATAGACTGGGGTACAACAATGCATGTTGGTACCGCGGTGTTTTCCCTCAGGAACACCGAAGATTTTGTGGACTGCACTTCTCATCACCCTCAGTCAGGTCCTGGCAGAGAAATATGGAAGTTAAATAATGAATTAACATTACTTCTCCCCAAAAAAGTATTGAATCATTTCAGTAAAACTTCACTAAGCAAATGAATGCACCTAGAAAACAGAAACATTAGGACAGAGGGATTTGGGCCCAAAATAGGGACTGTCCTTCCTAAATAGGGACACTAGGCAGGTATGCATCTTCGCATAAACTGAGATAAGTGAATTTATTAATTTGGGAAGGAGAGGTGACAAGGAGTGTACCCCTAACTTTCTGCTCATTTTTGTGACAAATCTGCACAGCATTTCCTTATGAATCACATGTTAATGGTTTTCTGCCCAGATCACTCATTTGATGCTAAAAATAAGATAAAATGCCAGTACAACCAGAAATGTGAAAGCTTGTTTTGTGATTTCCTGTTATGTTGCCAGAGTAGCAGGGTCACACCTCCCACATGACGCTCTGCCCAATGTGCCATTCATTACAGAAGTTATACATTTTAGAACAAAACGTCAGCTGAATTGGAGAAACCGAACAGTCAAAAAGTAGAAAGTCAGCTCTGCTTCCAATACAGCTGCTCTGGTCTATAATTTAAAATCCGCTCTGAGTTCCCAACAGTTCTTACTTTAGTAAATATCACTGATTATGTATAAAGTGACACAGTTATATACATAATGCATTGAAACATGAAACAAAAATATAAAAGGAAAACCATTACAGTTAAAGTTGATTGCACGGCAAGTGATGCAGCTAAGAGAGTGTTCCCCAACCAGGAAGTGACTCCACCAATCAGACGCTATCATTAGAGTCTGTCTTCTTATTCCATAAACCATTACTGTTACTGAGTTACATTGCTTTCTGATACACTCTGTATTTTGCAGATTACTGTTAGTTTTATTGTTGTGGAGCTCTGTGATACTAATTCACACTCCACATTGTTCTATTATATATTCATTCACACTCCACATTGTTCTATTATATATTCATTCATGCTCCACATTGCTGCGTTCTGTTGTTGTGGAGCTCTATCTCACCACCCTCCCACCCCCACCCCCATTTTTTCTGTAAATTGTAATGATCTAGAATTCTGCAATATGCAGCAAAACACGCATTTGTAGGGTTATTTACTAAAGAGAGATTTCAAAGTGAATTCAAAGTGAATTTTGAATTAAAGTCAAAACAGATGACCTGGAAAAAATGTCTAAGACAGCGATGCTTTCAGTTTGACTACTTTGGCCTTAAATATGAAATTAATTTTGGATTTTCACTTTAGTAAACAACCCAGTCAGACGTCCTTAAACGTAGGATCATCAGAGGAGTTTGTGTGCAACCAGTCCTGCAAGATCATGCCAGGACTGGTTGGGAGTGGGGTCTGTGTCAGGGTATGCCAGGACAGGTAAGGGGTGGGGCCTGTGTCATTGCATGCCAGAACAGGTATGAGGTAGGGTCTGTGTCAGGGCATGATGGAACAGGTAGGGGTGGGTTCTGTGTCAGTGCATGCCAGGACAGGTAAGGGGTGGGGCCTGTGTCAGCGCATGCCAGAACAAGTAGGATATGGGGTCTATGTCAGGGCATGCCAGGAAAGGTATGGGTTAGGGTCTGTGTCACGGCATGCCAGGACAGGTAGGATGTGGGGTCTGTGTCAAGGCATGCCAGGAAAGGTATGGGTTAGGGTATGTGTCACGGCATGCCAGGACAGGTTGGGGTGGGGCCTGTGTCAGCACATGCCAGAATGGGTTAGGGTCTGTGTCATGACATGCCAGGACAGGTAGGATGTGGGGTCTGTGTCAGGGCATGCCAGGACAGGTTGGATGTGGGGTGTGTCAGAGCATCCAGGACAGGTTGGGGTGGGGCCTGTGTCAGCACATGCCAGAATGGGTTAGGGTCTGTGTCATGACATGCCAGGACAGGTAGGATGTGGGGTCTGTGTCAGGGCATGCCAGGACAGGTTGGATGTGGGGTGTGTCAGAGCATCCAGGACAGGTTGGGGTGGGGCCTGTGTCAGCACATGCCAGAATGGGTTAGGGTCTGTGTCATGACATGCCAGGACAGGTAGGATGTGGGGTCTGTGTCAGGGCATGCCAGGACAGGTTGGATGTGGGGTGTGTCAGAGCATCCAGGACAGGTTGGGGTGGGGCCTGTGTCAGCACATGCCAGAATGGGTTAGGGTCTGTGTCAGCACATGCCAGGACAGGTAGGATGTGGGGTCTGTGTCAGGGCATCCAGGACAGGTTGGGGTGGGGTCTGTCAGGGCATGCCAGAACAGGTTGGGGTGGGGTCTAGGTCAGGGCATGCCAGGAGGGGCATACCGCAGCCATAAGAGGTGTGTAATTCCAGGATATAACGTGTGGCATTAACAACGGCTGCAATAATACCTAAATTAAAAACATAGAGATCATAGAGATGTTCTTCATTAAATCTTGCTGTATATTTTGTTGTTCAATATTAACTCAAAATGTCAATAAGAAAACATGCCCATTCTATTCAGACCTACTTGGCAAGTCATTCTCTGAGCGTGTGACTGAGTTACGTCTGTTCGGACGGTTTTTACAAGGGGAGCATTCTTCTACAATATACAGGAATTCTTGCTTACTGTAAGGCCACTGTGGCTGAACTTGGCACTGCCAATGTTTGTAAACTATATTATTCATCTAGGCTGGCTAAGCATCATGGGAAATATTCACAAACGTGCAGTGCCAATGTTAGGCATCGTTAGTGACTGTGTGTTCTCCAGTACACGAGGCCCTTCCCCAAGTGCAAAATATAGTTTTCTATAAACATTGGCAGCATCAGGATGACTGTGAGAACATAAACTGGGGATGTGGCAAGAAATCACCATAAATGGCTTATCCAGTAAACGGTGTAATGCGGTGAAATGAAACTTAGGAAGAAATTCCCAGATTTGATTTAAAGGGGAAGTTTCTATTTTTTTTCCAGCTCAGATATATTGATTGTATTTTTTTCCAGTTTCACCACAGACAGACATATATTCTGTTACTCCACTGTCAGCACACCTTAACTATTTACTTTTCTTTTTCTTTTGTTCTGTAGACCCATTTCAATCTGATACTGGGTTATTCACTAAAACCAGAATTTCCAGTAAATCAAAGTGAATTTCAAATTTGCAGTTCCCTACTCGAACCTTCTCATTGTTCTCTGTTTAGTAAATAAACCAAACTATGACTAGAGTGAGGTTATTCATGGAACTGTAGGCCAAAGTCCAAAAATGAAAAATAAAAAGGGAAAACACATTTTTTTTTTAAACGCGTTATAAAAGTTCAGATTTTAATAAAAATTGTCTCTCTTACAATTGAGCACTGAAAGGTAGGTTTTCTTCCTCCTTCATGGAGCTAACAGAAGTATCAGGCACGCTGGACTAGAGCATGTCCACCTCCCTCCTTTCTCAAAGAATTGTGAGAAGCATTGGAAAGTCACAAAACACATGCACTCGTTGCTCAATGATAAGTCTCTATCAGTTGATTACGCGACACAGAGTAAAAGTACACCAGGTCTGCGTGTTTTTTTATATAACCCTTGCTATGGGGGTATATCTAATAAATAGTGAGAAATTAAATTAAATGGAGAGTTCCTTTATATGTGCAAGCCCCTGGTGATTTATTTCCCTGCAAGTCACTGTTTGTAATTAACTCTACAAATATGAAAAGAACGAAGTGACTTGTACCTTGCTTTTGCCCAAGGCTACAAAACTTAAAGAACACTACACTCTGCATGGGGCCAGGAAACCCAGCATCTTGTAATGTAGGACACTGGTATGACTCATACACAATATTTTATCATATTCATAGACAACACACGAAAACTGTTGCCCTGCAGTATGCAGAATTCATATGCTGAAATATTTCTGATTAATTACTTGATTTCCTGACAGCAGTACATGAATTCTATATACTAAAGGGTAGCAGACTGCAGGATCGGCCCATCAATTTGAGTATCTTGGCCAACACAGAAAAAGTGCTGCCCTGCAGTCTGTAGAATTCAGGTGTTTCACAATTCCTAATGATTGCAGACTTCTCGATGGGCTGTGATAAAGCGGATTAAGAAGGCTGTGATTGGACAGCCACAGAAAATTTATTTTGGGGAAGAAGGGGCGGGTTTACAGGAGATGAACATACTAGATCTGCAGCTATTACAAGCCAGGGTTTCATAAATTCTCACAGAAAACATGCAAAACAAATGACTGCATATTTTGGGTTATGTCTACTAAACTGTCAAGAAAAATCTATATATTTATTTAATGAAGTATTCCTTTAATTTACAAGGTTCCAACGTGTTCTGCAGATCTGGACAACTGATTGCAGCTAGAATTAATAAATAGCTTTCCTGTTTTTACGTTTTACTTGTACACTGTAAACACTACTCAGCCGAAGGATTTCCTAAAATTCTGTACGCACCTAACAAACTGTACAGCGGGTTTCTTTGATATCTATTTATATAAACCCAACAAATTCTGCTTGATGCAATAAATACAGCTTCGTATGACAGACAGGAAGAAACCGGTTTAGTAGGTTTTGGTGCACCCTTTCTGTATAATGAGTGAAACCCAATTTGCAGACAGGGGGTGTGGTTATTTGTATAGGTAAAAACAGGGGATATTTACTTACAGTGTGTTCATATTATGGGAATATGGCTACTTAGGTGGCTAGGGCAATGAAAGCGTAGGCCTCTATAGTTAGATCATGTTTGAAGAAATATTTGAAGTTATTAATATTACACTCCAAGCACCATAACAACCTATGCTACTTGCTTACTTCATGGCGCAAGAAGGTCCCCTTTCACTGTCTCATTTCTTCGCGGATTCTTATGTGATTTGCAAGAATTGCTGCAGCATGGACTCCCCCTCCCCATTTATGTTTGCCCTTGGTAATAACTTCTGTAACTTTAGTTATATTATTGCATTTGCCTGATCTGGGTAAATTAGAGAAACAAAAACTGGCCTCTGCGTCTGTGCTGCCTACAAAGAGCTTGTGGACTGATTGTGAAACTGCTGGATGCAGGAGTGGCCAAAAGGTAGCCCACAGCTGTCGTGTTGGCATACTACACCTCCCATGATGCTTTGCCAATCTATAGACTGACACATTATGTTGTGAATTGTAGGTTATAGCAGATGGGGGGTAGTATTGGCCATCTCTTACTTTGCAGTATTTTGTTTTGTTAAAAATGATAAGCTGTACAGTACCTGTATTATCCAGGATTTTCCTGAATCACTTCCTGGTTTGTGCATTCTTGCTAGCCCTGCAATGCGTATACACTGTTCAATACTGCAATATCCATTACTCAATCCAAGGATTGCAGCCAGGGAGACTATGGGCGCTATGGAAAGTAATTTGTCCTTTTTATGGTAATCAGCACTCATTGTCAGAGCTTCCTGCAGCTGCTTGTAGTTATTATAACATTCACAAATCCTTATATCTTTCCAAAATGTATGGAAAGGCAACATTTTAACGATATGAATTCATGAAACATGTTTAATTTAAGTCAGCCTTTTTAATTTAACCATTACCGCCATTACCATGTGTTTCTGTGCAGCCGATAATGTGAATCTTTAGATTAGGTGCTGAGTATTTTTATATGTTGACACAGATACTAATATTGACAGATTTTAAACTATTTATATAATCATTGTTAGCTTCAAACTCAATGACAAATGGTCCAAACATAGCTCTGCTTCACGCCATAGCTGGGGTAGCAGGCAGCAATAGGCTGAGAGTGTCACCTGACTGCTCTCAGGCAATTACTTCCCTATTACCTGGTATGAATTGGTATAGACCAAGGTGGAGCATAGTCCCGCTATCCAATGTCATTGGATGCCAGGCTGCAGGCTGCCATGGACCGAGGATGAGTAAACCGCTTATCAGCAATGCGGCACCTGGTGCCCACAAACTCCTGGCACCATTAAAGTTAAAAATAGTTATGGTACCTAAAGTGTACTTTTGAAGACGATACAATAATAATTAACTATTTTTAAATTGTGTTAAAACGGTGAGAAGTTTGTATATGTAGGGTTGAGGTTTAAATGCATTGTGCTCCAGTATACGTATTATTAGAAGTAAAGAAGTTAATGTGTTACAAACAAAAGATTGAGTGAGTTCACAAATAAAAGGTCCCTTGTCCCCTAATTGGTTAGAGTCCCTTCTCCAGCTGGCCTGCAAATCCTACTCCAGGTTCATACAATGTGCCAGTTTTATGTTCCTGACCTAAATCATTACACAATATGGCTGCGGGTGAGGGCCTCCACGCCCAATATTAGAATATTATATGACTATATTGTATGACTCAGCCTTCCCCTCCTGAATGGTATGTTCTACTACCTGAAACTGAATCAGCTCAGTTTCAAGGATATACTTTTATCCTTAGTCAATGTATTTCCTCAAAATGTGTCTATTGTAATATTCTATTGAAAGGGAACATGTTTTGTGTGAAAACATCCTGTTTAACCACTTTATTCCAAAGTACACAAAAAGTCTATAACTTTTATTTGATGGGAATCACAGTTACCAGTTTGTTGGTCAGGGATACCTTAAAAAACGTAAATTATGTAAAGGAAATTGTAAACATTATAAGGTATCTTTATTGTTTTAGGTAAGGTTAGGCAGAGGTGAACACTAACGTATAAAGAGTAACAAATTCTCTACTAATCTGTGAGTTGTGTGTTTTCCCCAGCGTACTAACCCCCCTAAAACTGCTGGTGTGCGAACGTAAACTTATCTTAAAGATATGGGCCAATTCTCTGATTATGTTATAACTCTGTGCCTCCTGTCAATGTGCAACACAGGATCACTTAGAGAGATTTTTGTCTGAGAAAAAACAGAAATGTCCCAGTGTAGCCATTGGATCACCATGAATCAGTAATCCTCATGTAGAGGAAAATCTGAAATAGTATGGAAGTCTGCAATATAACCATAAAACCAGACATGCCAATTTGTCACATACACTAGGTATAAAACCTTGCGGATGGTTATTTATAATAAACCTTGTGACATTTTTGGGAATGTAGTTTAAAAAAAAATCCCACCAGAATCTAGAAAAAATATATTTTATAGCATAATAAGTGCTGTCACGCTGAGCACTTGTATGATTCGGTATTTCGAGTTGTCTTTGCAGCCTGCAAAGAATATCTTCAGTGTACTACTCGTGCCTGACTGCTAAAAAATATCCATTAATTTCAATATACAAAATGCGTTGTAGAGTGCAGTTACAGTGGATAATGTATTGGAAACCCACTTATTCAGTTATAGTGAGATCTGCAAATCATTGTTGAGCAGTACAAATCTCAGAGTAGTCAGTACAGTTGCCGTCATACTGTAGCCCATGGAGCAGCGTAGCTAAGGGGAGTGGGCCTTGACATTGCCAGGAGACAGGCCATCTAAAGGTCAGTGGTCAGGGATTGGTCATTGGAAATGGTGGGGTGGAGTTTTAAAGGGGAGTATAAGTAGTGGCCATTTTAGAACCAAGGATCACTTTAATCTAAGTTACACAACCTGTTTGTTGTCCCACCCACCCTCCCTTTGTTTTCAGGTGTTTCCCGTTTGGTCACGGCGGCGGGGGATGGAGAGTAAAGTTGGCGGGAGTGAGATGGGGAAAAAGTTTGGAGTTCAGGGCTAATAGGTAGGCCTTTGGACTGGTTTGGTAGGTTCGAGCTCGTAGGTAGCTCCGAACCGGGGTGTGTATGGGGTGTCTCAGTATGCCCCTACACTTGTGGTGCCCTTTGGTGGCAATGGATGGTGCCCTTTGGTGGCAATGGTCATGTTCATGTTAAATAAAATGTTCAATGTTTGGGTATTATGTTATGTGGGGGTGGGTCATTGTCAAGGGGTTAATTGTAAATGCAGGATGTTAATTGTGCAGGCCAATGTTGGCCTGCTTTTGACCATAACCTTTAAATTTATGTTAATTACAAATAAAGCTGTGATATAATTTTGCCAAAACCATGGTGTCAGTGCTTTATTGGGGATTGGGTATTTGGTGGGGTTTTTTTAAGCAGAGGCCGACAAAGTGACTGTGCCCATGTCAATACTTTCCCAGTATATAATGATAATTTAAAGTCACGTTTTGCTGAAATAAAACATGCTAACCTTATCAGTGGACAAAATCATCCAGTATATACTGCTTGCTCTGCAGTTAGTGTCTGTGTCAAGAGATGCTTTCATTAGAAATCGACTCAGCGTTCTTACACCATTAACCCCTTAAGGACACAACTTCTGGAATAAAAGGGAATCGTGGCGGAATATTTCCGTCATGTGTCCTTAAGGGGTTAAGCGTTATATAATAACTTATAATAAGCAGAACTACAAGCATTAGCTGTCAATCATCCGACCGATTTTGGTTATAAATCACTGATACATCGTTACTTCTACAGATTAATTTCCATTTCTTCCCAGACTGTTAGATATTGCATTTCGCTATGTTTTCACAGTAGAATATTTGGCATTTTCTAGTTGCTTGGAACACATCAAGTTATTCCACACCCTCCAGTACAAACCTCCTTTCATACTGTCATGTTTTATTCTGTCTGAATCCCAGGAATTTAGGAAATGATCTACTGTTAGTGTTTCGTATTGTAAAGTTTCAATTTCTCATTCGAATACAGCTCTGTGATCCTCCTACCTTCACTTGTTCTTCAAAACTCCTTATTTTCAAACTCTGACTAGGCCAAAGCCCTCTCTTATTTATTCTTCAAAGATTCCTTCTTTTAAAAGGAATCTATAGTGCCAGGAAGTTGTTTTCCTGACACTATAGCTCTCTATAGTGCCCCCTCCCCGTGGTGCAGAAGGGGTTAAAAATCCCTTCTGTCATTTACCTGAGTTTAGTGCCGATGTCCCTCAGCACTGAAGTTTGGGTGCCTATAGTGTCCCTTTAAACTATGCCCTTCTGCCTCTAGATCACTCGCACCCATTATCCCTCCTACAAACCATAGTCATCCAAGCTTCTCTCCATTATTAAATGTTGTAAGAGCTTCCAAATCAGAAAATAGCCCAGTCAGTTAAAAAAGGGGGATACATAAATGAGAAGAAAGTAAAACAAGGATTAGTTAATTAAAAACAAAAGAAGGAATGTATGTAAAAGAGGATAAAGATCTAGCTGACACTAAAAACATACAAAAAATCACTGACACTCCCTCTGCTCAACGCATTGGCGGATCCAGGGGGGGGGGCAACGGGGCAATTGCCCCCCCCGAGATTCCCCCCTGCTGGCTAACGCAGGGCTGGCATTGCCCAAGTGCCAGCCCTGCAATGTGCCTGCGGACCGGAGGGGAGATCAGAGCTCTCCCTCCCCGGTCCGCAGGCACTGTGCTGGCGGCCGGCGAGGGAGGGAGTGAGAGAGAGGACCCGGAGCTCAGTCTGCAGCTCCTCCGGGTCCTCCTCTCGCGGGATTTAAAGCGTTGCCGCGGTTACCACGGCAACGCTCCAAATCTCGCGAGAGTGAACTCTAGCCCGGGAGCGTGGGCTAGAGTTCAGTTCACTCTGACCACCAGGGAATCACCACTGGGACCACCAGGGACGGAGAAATGTCCCCCCTCCTGCTCAATAAAGGTAAGAAGGGAGGGGGGACATATTTATTTTATTAAATTTTTTTTTTTTAATTATTAATTATTATTAAAAAGCCTCCTTCCCCCCCTCCTCCCCCATTACACACACTGCCCCATTACAGGGGGGCAGTGTGTGTGTATGGGGATAGTGTTTGTGGGGCAGTATGTGTAATGGGGGGGGGGAGAGGAGGTTTTTTTATAATACATTTTTAAAATAAATATTCTGCCCCACAAACACTCTCCCCATACACACACTGCCACCCATACACACACTGCCCCACAAACACTGTCCCCATACACACACTGCCCCCCAAACACACACTGCCCCACAAACACTGTCCCCATACACACACTGCCCCCCATACACACACTGCCCCACAAACACTGTCCCCATACACACACTGCCCCACAAACACTGTCCCCACAAACACTGCCCCCCATACACACACTGCCCCACAAACACTGTCCCCATACACACACTGCCCCACAGACACTGTCCCCATACACACACTGCCACCCACACTGCCCCCATACACACACTGCCCCACAAACACACACTGCCCACAAACACTGCCCATACACACACATACACACTGCACTGCCTAAACACTGTCCCCATACACACACTGCCCCCCATACACACACTGCCCCACAACACACTGTCCCCATACACACACTGCTGCCCACAAACACTGTCCCCATACACACACTGCCCCCCATACACACACTGCCCCACAAACACTGTCCCCATACACACACTGCCCCCCCAACACACACACTGCCCCACAGACACTGTCCCATACACACACTGCCCCACAAACACTGTCCCCATACACACACTGCCCCCATACACACACTGCCCACAAACGCATCCCACACTCCCCATACACACACACTGCCCCACAAACACTGTCCCCATACACACACTGCCCCCCATACACACACACTGCCCCAAAAACACATACAGTGCCCCCATACATACACTGCCCCCTAACACACACACTACAACCCTGACATACACTGCCACACTCACACACTTTTACCCTTAACACACACCACTGCTCCTATAGCCTATATCCCAGCAGATCCCAGGTAAGTTGTTAAACTGTTCTTAAACGGTATGACTACTTACTCTGGGGTGGAATCCTGGCACTACTGACACCATAACTACTACACTGAGCTGTAGTGGTTATTGTGCCTGGATTATTTATTTAAATAATCTACAAGTGCCCCTACCGAGATCAGGCTCTGGATCCGCCACTGGCTCAACGCAGCTAAATCCCTAATACCCACTCTTTGGAAGCAACCGGGGGCGCCAACCCTCCAGCAATGGGTGACTAGAGTAGAGGAGATTTACTCCATGGAGTCTCTAACAGCAGACCTGCAGGGGCGCTCAGAACAATGTGCCCTAACCTGGTACCCATGGATGACATATATCTCCAGGAAAACTGGTGGTCCGGCGGGAGCCCAATCCGCCAACCTCCCATAGGTAGACCATCCAGAACTGGAGCAGTAAGGGACCCACTCACAGACGGGACAAGTGAAAAGAGGGGCCGAGGGGGGGGGGTCAAACCCTTCCTAACCCACCCAGTACCTTATCTCCCTACCCCCCGACCCTTGACCACATCCTATTATAGACCATGGAACGTTACCATACTACACTACGCACAATGACGGTGGACGGGACTTAGAATGACACCGACTACTGTGCAATCCACCCGACTAAGCACTAATCCTAATGGATGTTATGATTTTAAAAAATAAATAAATAAATAATCTGTTACTATTATTATTAATGTTTGCAAGCACCTTTACCTACTGAAACGTTTAAACTGTGATTCAGTTTTACTTTACTAGTGTTCATGTCAGGCCAATAACTCTATTGCTACTTGTTGGAACATACGCTTGTACCACTGTTAGAACGATAAGTCAGATAGGTAATCTTTATTATGACTCTTCCTCTTACGGATGTTGACTTTAAACTACTGTTGTGTACCGTATTGCTACCTGTTTACTTTTGCTCAAACGACAAAATCAAAAATAAGGATAGTAAAAAAAAAGATCTAGCTGACTGCCTCAATGAATATTTTTGTTCAGTATTTACAGATGAAAATGAAGGAAAGGGACCTCAGTTAGCAAAGAGGACAAATATATTAATTTGTTACATGTGAGTTTACAGAGGAACAGGTTACATTTCAACTTTCAAAAGTAAAGACAAGTAAATCGATGGGGCCTGGTGGAATACACCCAAAGTTAGCTGCTGCCCATTCTCAGTAGTCTCTTGTGCTCCGTTTCTTGCTTATTAAGCAAGCTTAATGGTGTACTGACAAAACCATTAGCGGATTTATTTAAACAATCATTGTTAACGGGAGTAGTCCCAGAAGATTGGAAACCGGGCCGGCGCTTCCTTTAAGTTGAACTTGGCAGCCGCCTAGGGCGCGATATAGGAGGGGGCACCCTGCTCCCCCATCACCGGCCCTTTAAATGCTGCAGCCACCTGAGTGCTCTATAGAGAGCACTCAGGCGGCTGCCGCACTGCCCTTCACCTTCCCTGTAGCGTGGCTGAGCTTCTTTCTGGTCCGCCGTACAGGAACATCCGTTTCCAGTACCCGCCGGACTGATAGGAAAAAAGAAAATATGACGTATTATGTTCTTTAAGACTCTTTCTGTATATTAAATGTACATAATTAAATGAATTTTAATATATTTAAATGAAAGCTATGTGTACTGGAGAATCAACTTGGGATGTTATAATATATTCTCATTCAGAACGTAGACATATCGGCTCTTACTGATTGAACCCCCCCATTCATGTGATTCTAGGTGACTGCTGGCTGCTGGCTGCCATCGCATCTCTTACCTTAAATGAGCAAGTTTTATCCCGTGTGGTCCCCAAAGATCAGAGCTTCCAGGACAAATATGCAGGGATTTTTCATTTCCAGGTAATTTATTCAACATATATATACAGAATCCAGAAAGCATGAGAACTTACCCTTACTGAGTCCACGTTTCAGGATTTTCAGGTCAATAAATCTTTGACAAAGATCTGAGATTTCTGCTTCCTCTAATTCTGAATGAATTTTACGTGTACGAACATTTATATAAAAGACACAGAATAGGCGCTCACTATAAAACCAGAGTGAAAGGCAGCAGTGAACCAGCAGGTATTCCCTAACCTTGATAATTTTCAAAACGTGACAAAAAAGAATATTGCCAAGAAGATAGAATTTATGAAAAAAAAAGGGGTTTAGTAGAATATATATGTATATATATACATATATGGAGGACAATAATTTTCTGTTGTGTAATAGCCTAAAAAAAATAGGAAACAATAATAGTGCAGTATGGTAAAGCAATTTTTAAAAGGTTAATAAAATACTAACTCACAATCTTTAGAGCTGCTAAGAGCTCTGCTGTATAGCGCATTGACAGTACAATCCCTGTCTTAGGATATGTTGATATTCGTGATGATAGGCTTCCAATTTTCAACAACCATGTAGGGAAGAGGAGAAGAACCAATAGCACAGTATATAGTATATAATATAGAATATATAAAAGCAGAGTATGCTACTTATTATTTCCAGAGCAATAACTTGCTCTGGTGGTTGTGGCTGTGGTAATACAATCCCCACCTGGGATATGCAGAATACAATGTGGCAGAACAGGACCAGGAGAAAAAAAAAATAGGGACTATATAAATAACAATTAACTTTATTACTAACATAGAAACATAGAATGTGACGGCAGATAAGAACCATTCAGCCCATCTAGTCTGCCCAATATTTCAAAATGCTTTTCATTAGTCCCTGGCCTTATCTTATAGTTAGGATAGCCTTATGCCTATCCCACGCATGCTTATACTCCTTTACTGTGTTAACCTCTACCACTTCAGCTGGAAGGCTATTAAAAGTAAAAGTATATAAAAGCAAATGCAGCAAAGAATAAAGTGCTCCAGTCCCACATTTATATACTTTGTGCAACCTGTCTGGGAAACATCAGTAGAGTAAGATTTTCTTAACTCAAGTAGTTGAGTAATTAGAGTATAATATCAGACGCAGGGGCGTTTTAGCCGCGAGGCAAACAAGGCATTTGCCTTGGGCGGCATTTTTCAGGGGGCGGCAAAAAACGCCGCCCCCCAAATGCCCAGGCAAATGCTTTGTTAGCCTCGCGGCTAACTGACCGGCCGGGCTGGGCTGGGCAGGCGGCTGGCGAGGGAGCTCTTCCCCTGAGCTGTCCGCTCAGCTCCCTCGCGCGCCGCAGAGTGAGGCTGGGAGCCGGAAGATGACGTCATCTTCCGGCTCCCAGCCTCACTTTGCGGCCCGAGGGAGCTGAGCAGACCGCTCAGGGGAAGAGCTCCCTCGCCAGCCGCCTGCCCAGCCCAGCCGGCATCCACTGGACCACCAGGGAGGTAATGAACCCCTCCCCCCCAGCACTCCCAAAGGTAAGGGGGGGGGGGCTAAATAAAAAAAAATAAAAAAATGTGTTAATGTGAGTGTCTGTTAATGTGTGTGTGTGTTTTGTTAGTGTGTGTCTGACTGTGTCTGTTAGTGTGTATGTGTGTGTGTCTGACTATGTGTCAGTGAGTGTGTGTTTGCCTGTGTGTGTGTGTGTGTGTCTGTAAATGTGTGTGTGTTTGTTAGTGTGTGTGTGTCTGCTAGTGAGTGAGTGTGTCTGTTAGTGTGTGTGTCTGACTATGTTTGTCTGTTAGTGTGTCAGTGAGTGTGTGTGTGTCTGACTGTGTGAGTGTGTTTGCCTGTGAGTGTGTGTGTTAGTGAGTGTGTGTCTGTTAGTGAGTGTGAGTATCTGTTAGTGTGTGTGTGTTTCTGTTAGCGAGTGTATGCGTATCTGTCAGTGAATGTGTGTGTGTGTATTTAGAAGGCGGGGGGGGTTGGCGCGGGGGGAGGGGGGGGCGCCTGCGTTTTGTCCTGCCTAGGGCAGCACAAAACCAGGATACACCACTGATCAGACGCTGATTAAAATTATAATGGTAAGGCCTACCTGTTTAGTAAGGTAACTGCGATTTTGCCACCTTACAGAACAGTTAAAACCTGGGGCTTGGTGAGTACACCCCAAATCTTTTCTTGGATGAGCCATGGGAATAAGAATTGTAAACACAATCAAGTGATACATAATAGCAGACGATTAGATATTACTCTAGAACTTGTTGAGAAGTCCTGTTGTCCTTAGTTCCACTCCCACTCCCTTGGAATTATATTGCAGAATGTGTGAAAAAATGGTCTCAGGTACATAGATAAAAACTGTAGGACCATGATTGCTCACCATTGGCAACTCTTGCAGTCTAAGATCAGCCAACCTAACAACTGGTGTGGCGAAGTTTTCTTAAAGATCTATTCCCAGAACACTGTGTGTCTTGCAGTTCTGGCAGTTCGGTGAATGGGTGGATGTGGTCATAGATGACAGACTGCCGACCAAAAATGGGGAACTGGTCTTCGTTCATTCAGCAGAAGGGACTGAGTTCTGGAGTGCACTTATGGAAAAAGCCTATGCCAAGTAAGTGCTAAATTCCCTCTCAGTTACAAACTATTTTCTCGTTCTTATTTCAAAGCAGACCAATTATTTCCATTTGGAATAAATCTAATTACCTCCTTAGAAACCATTTTAAGAAGTAATGGAGTCTTTCCTGTGAAAATACAGCTTCTTTAATGTGGTTCAGAACAATGTTATGTGATTGAAGAAATGTCCAGATGGGTCCAAAATATTGATTGTGTAATGTTTTGATTCACATAAAATAATTAAATTAAAGAAGCATTTTCACCGCAAAGACACATTTGATTATAGAGATATTTATGAACTAAATAAAGTTTACTGATTTAGAATAATGTCTATTTCCTATAGTCCTGTGATTTAGACTTGAAGGGGCAGAGGGTTGATTGGTCACATTTATGATGGATTCCCTTTAATATTTATATTTCCTTGGTTACTCTTAAACGTTTGCACGGACCTTAAGCATAAAAATAATCTAATATCTGAAAAAGAGTTTAATTCCTACCTGCAACTTGTGCTGTTTTTCTCTTCATGAACCTCCATGAAACAAACTAACAATATAACCAGAAAATGTAGGTTATTCAAGAACTGTCAATCTATGATTCAGGTTGAACGGATCCTATGAGGCTTTGTCAGGAGGTGCGACCACAGAGGGCTTTGAAGATTTTACTGGGGGACTCGCAGAGTGGTATGACCTGAAGAAAGCTCCAGCAAACCTCTTTAAGATCATCCAAAAAGCCTTGAAGACCGGATCTCTGTTGGGCTGCTCTATAGACGTGAGTAATTTCCTGCATTACTGGTAGAATTGTTTTGTAGGATTTGCCACAAGTTCTATGACAATATTGCAATATCAGGAGGTTTGCTACATAAGCAGAGAATTGTGGTGAGGTTACACAAAACCAGAAAAGTTAATTAAAGGATCACAATAGTATCAGGAAAACAAACTAGTTTTCCTGACACTATAGCATCCTTGGGGGACCCTCACCCTCAGGGTCCCCCTCCCGATGGGCTGAAGGTGTTAAAACCCCTTCAGCAGCTTACCTTAATCCAGCGCTGGGCTCCCTCTGCGCTGGTGACCTCTCCTCCCCCGCCAACATCACCTCCTGAGTGGAACGGAATGCGCATACGCATTCAAACAGTCCATAGGAAAGCATTTCTCAATGCTTTCCTATGGACGTTCTGCACGTTGGATGCGAATTTCGCATTCAACGTCGCAGAAGCGCCTGTAGCATCTGTCAGGAAGACCGCCACTAGAGGTTGGATTAACCCTGCTATGTAAACATAGCAGTTTCTCTTAAAATTGCTATGTTTACATGTGAAGGGCTAAAACCTGAGGGACCTGGCACCCAGACCACTTCATTGAGCTAAAGTGGTCTGGGTGACTATAGTGCCCCTTTAAATGAAAAATACCTAAGTTCAGAAAATAGCTAATTCAAATCAAATTTTACTTTGGGACTCTTAAATGTTGCCATTCCATCATCAATTCACCAGAGTTTATTATTTGTACACGAGTCCCAGAATTCACATGTTTTGTGCAAATCACAAGGATTATTAAATTAGCTTAGAATGAGCATCCCTACTGCCCTCTCTACTCCCTACTTGGGTAAAAACCCAATGGCAGAGTATAAAATATTTAATAGAGTCCTAACCTCAACATCTGAGGAAAGGGATTTAGGGGTGATTATTTCTGATGACTTAAAGGTAGGCAGACAATGTAATAGAGCAGCAGGAAATACTAGCAAAATGCTTGGTTGTATAGGGAGAGTTATTAGCAGTAGAAAGAGGAAAGTGCTCATGCCATTGTATAGAACACTGGTGAGACCTCACTTGGAGTATTGTACGCAGTCAGGGCCGGATTAACATAGGGGCTGATGGAGCTGCAGCTCCAGGCCCAGACCCATGGAATAGGCCCTTTAAAAAAAGTGTACTTTTTTTTTTTTTTTACACACTACTCTTAGGTTTGCCACCTGACTGGTATTTTACTGGCACAGTCGGTATTTGAGGCTGCCTGGCCATGCCGGTATTGCAGTAATACCGGCAATACAATTGCAGGTGTTTTTTTTTTGTTTAAACGGAGATTACTCTGCAATACTAGCACCGGACAGTAGGGGTCACTGTGTGTGGAGAGAGGCAGGGAGTTACAGCAAATCTCTGCCTCTCTCTATTACTCACTGATATGTGGGGGAGCAGCTACACAGTACAGAGAGTCCAGAGAGCAGCTCTACAGCTCAGGTAAGTGAGGGATTGGGGTAAAGGCAGCAGGTAGACATGGGGACACTGAGACACTAGGGGACACTGAGACACTAGGGAACACAGGGAGACTTGAGGACACTGGAAAACATGGGGACACTGAGACACATGGGGATGCTGTGAGAGATAGGGACATTGGGAGACACTGGGACACGGAGACACTAGGGACACAGTGTCCCCATGTCTCCCAGCCAGTGTCTCAGCGACCCCATGTCTCCCAGCCAGTGTCCCCATGTCTCCCAGTGTCCCCATGTCTCCCAGTGTCTGTGTTCCGATATCTCTGTGTCCCTAGTGTCTTAGTGTCCCCATATGTTTCAGTATCTACATATCTGTCTGTGTCCCTATGTCTCCCAGTGTCCCCAAATGTCTGTGTCCCCATGTCTCCCAGTGTCTCTATGTTTTCCAGTGTCCCCATGTCTGTATCCACAAGTGCCCCCATGTCTCCCTGTGTCTCAGTGTCCCCATGTCTCACTGTGTCCCCTAGTATCCTTGTGACATGGGGACACACTGAGACATGGGGACACTGGGAGAAATGGGGACACTGAGAGACCGAGGACACTGACACTGTGATACATAGGGACACTGAGACACTGGGTGATTTGTGAGACTGAGAGACAGGGAGACACTGGGAGCAATCCATCTATACAGCAGAATCAAACTGAGTAGTTTTTTTGGTGATTTTACAGAATGTTCTCTTATGTCACTCCTTGTGATTTACATCATGTGATGTCACGCATAACTAATTAATTATACAAATGATTAAGGCTGGTATTTTTTTCCAAGAAAGGTGGCAACCCTAACTACTCTTCACATACTCTTGCTTAAAGGAACACTATAGGGTCAGGAACACAAATTACAATGCTCCCCCATAGTATTGGCTGAGACTGTCAACTAGGCAGATCAGGGGCAAAGCCAGCACAAGTCAAACATAGCCCTGGCCAATCAGAATCTCCTTAACAAAGATAAATTGAATCAATGCATCTCTATGAGGAAAGTTCAGTGTCTGCATGCAGAGGGTGGAGACACTGAATGGCAGTGCTGCACACTAGGCAGTACTGCCCCAGGAAGCACCTCTAGCAGCCATCTAAGGAGTGGCCAGTGGAGTTATTTTGTCTGAAAGACAGTGTTTACTGCAAAAAGCCTGAAGTAAGTGATTCTACTTACCAGAACAAATACAGTAAGCTGTAGTTGTTCTGGTGACTATTGTGTCCTTTTAAGTTTGGAAGCTTAAAGGGGATGTATGGGAACAAAACTTGTGTGGACTGGCTCACAATAAAATTAGTTTAGGTAATGCATACGTTGGTCTCTCTAACACTGTGGCATGTCCCCTTTCTTCTACACTCACTACATACACCTTTTCTCTGTCCCAGACCATATACCAGGAGCTTCTGCCTGCTAGTAAGAAGGTAAGGAGACAAGTAGACATGTCAGTGCCAGGGGACAGTCCTTACAAAGCTTGGAGTAGGCGCATCATTTGATGCATTTATGTCAAGCTCAGGGTGCTGTCTGCCTAGTATGCCCTTAGTTGGACAGTCTGCATTATTGCCCTTTTTGGCAGGTCTGGTCACGTGATTCACACCAGTGGCACACCCTTTAACCCTGCCCATTGACTTCCTGCTTCCCTGGACACTGCTGTTAGGGGGTATGGATTGAAAGTATAAATTAGAGAGAGATTAGCATAGAGTATGTGTTTTCATATAGCTGCATCCTTTGAGTTTCCCTCCAGCACCATCTCCATCAGATAGATGATGCTTGGGAGGTATGATTGTTTTTGTGGTTTTGGTCGATAAGATTATGTAATTAGGCCCATCATAATTGTCAGCACCAGGCCCACTGGGTTCTTAATCTGGCCCTGTACGCAGTACTGGAAACTGTATCTCCAGAAGGATATTGATACCTTAGAGAGAGTTCAGAGAAGGGCTACTAAACTGGTTCATGGATTGCGGGATTAAACATACCAGGAAAGGTTAAAGGATCTTAACATGTATAGCTGGGAGGAAAGATGAGACAGGGGGGATATGATAGAAACATTTAAATACATAAAGGGAATAAACACAGTAAAGGAGGAGACTATATTTAAAAGAACAAACACTACCACAATTAGAGGGGCAAAGGTTTAAAAATAATATAATAATAGGGTACTGAGAGGGTAGTGGATGCATGGAATAGCCTTCCAGCTGAAGTGGTAGAGCTTAACACGGTAAAGGAGTTTAAGCATGCGTGGGATATGCATAAGGCTGTCCTAGCTATAAGATGAGACCACGGACTAATGAAGGTATTCAGAAAATTGGGCAGACTAGATGGGCCGAATGGTTCTTATCTGCCGTCAGATTCTATGTTTCTACTTGTAAATAATATCCAAAGATAACTAGTAATTAAAGTCTGTTTCCGTTCATACAGAGACTGAACCTGAAATCAGAGTAATTCTGTTTCTTCTATAAAAATAGGAATTTGGGCATTTATCCAACGTGCCTCTGAAGTGCACAAGTAGAGATTTCTGACCTCTTGCTTCACTGAAATAATATAAACAACTTGCCCCACCTAGCCCATAAGCTGCGAGTGGGCAAAACCTGAAAAGAAAAAGGAAAAATAAAGTTAGAGTCCATTGACCCCGTAGTAGGTAAATAGGAACTGTGCCTGCATGCCCCCCCTGTGCAGCAGCAGTCTGAGGGAAATAGAGGGGTCTCCATGACATGTTATTAATCAGAACACGGAGTCCCTTCTATTCCCACAGTATGCGTAGCACGAGGCAGGTTACTATAGTGAAGACAGAGTGTCTCCTTACCTTATTAATTACCTTACATTGTAATTAAGATACATTGTAGCGAGTCACTATTTTATTGAACACGTAAAATACTTAATAATGACACTTGAATTAATACAGTCCTAATGTAATATATATATATATTTTTTTTTTTTTTACAAAACTTTAAAGGAACACTACAGCGTTAAGAATGCAAACATATATTCCTATTGCTAAACTTTTCTTCTGACTATTTTGATGTTCATGCCCCCCTCCTAACACCTGCAAGAGATTTGCTTTCTTTATGTCTCACAGCGCGCTGATCTCAGTGTTGCTACCATGTCTCCTTGGAAGGCATTGGAAGGCTAGCACTCATGTTCGGCAGAATGCCACGCAGCGCCAATCAAATGCTTTCTTTGCACAACCTTTTATTGAATAACCAAGTCTGACTGTGTTATTTGGTGGAAGCGCCTCTAGTGACTGTCAGGAAGACTGCCATTAGAGAGGTGTTTTAACACCTTAAAAAATTGCTGTATCTTCAAATCTGTATTGTTTTATATTGCAGGGTTAAATTGACAATACCACAACACCCAGACCATTTTATTGAGATTATGTGGTCTGGGTGCCGATAGCGATCCTTTTAAATCTCAATAAAACCACCTATCAACATCATCAACCTTAAAACATTTGGTTGGACAATGCCCTTTTTGCGCAGGTACTAGAGGCTTGGATCTTTATTAGCGACAGAGGCCAGTACTGTTGGTAATAAAAGTTTACAGAGCTTAGAAAATATTTCTCCATATTTTTGTTAATCCATATTTAGTTTAGTTTTGGTTTTTAATGATTAATTATATACCTTAAAATATATATACATTTTGAAATATAGCGTTTCCCTTTAACCCACCCGCACCCTGCTATTTCCTAGTGACCCCCAAATATTGCATACTAGCTCCCAAATCAAATCATGTGGAGTGTGAGAATAGATTTTAAAAAAAAAAATTTTTTTTTTATATGTTTTCCATCCAATTTAAAAGAATCACACTGTTTTCAATCTCGATAGGAAAAATACAAACTGAAAAGTCTCAGTAGTAACTATTCCTTTTTATTTTAAAGATCACAAGTGCGTCTGAGACAGAAGCTATCACGTTCCAGAAACTGGTGAAGGGCCACGCTTACTCTGTGACTGCAGCTGAAGAGGTTGGTGTCAGGCTTATTTTTTTTTTAAATTCATTAAGAGTATGTTAAAATGTGCTGTGTACATTCTGTCTAAAACTTGAATGTTTTAATGTCGGTTCCACAATCTGTCTTCCTATTTTAATCTTTAATGGAGATGTCATCCATAAACAGCTTTTATATAGTACTGTACTGCATACTTACCTTATAAATAGACTAGTCACTATAAAGTCACTATACAAGTCTCTATACAACAAACTATTATTTTTATCTGCTGAAAGGGAAACAAATCTCAGCTCAGTCCTATCCTGTCTGTGGTCTTCTAATTAAAGGAACACTATAGCATCCCTGCCTGTGTGCCATAAAATTAAAAAAAAAAAAAAAGTGTTTTACTCACAAGACTCCCTCGGCACTGCACACCTCTCTGCCTCCTGTGATGTCATGAATGAGGTTTGGCCTCCCTTGGCAATGGTCCAGTGATCCTCATAAAGGAGCATTGGGGACCTGTATGACAGCCACTAGGGGTGTGTTTACCCTTCCATGTAAACATTGCCCTTTCTACAAAATGTCAGTGTTTTACCTTGAAGAGTTAAGCACACAGGACCACTCCACCCAGACTTCTTCTTTGAGATGAAGTGGTCTGGGTGACTTTTAATTCATTTAAAGTGCAAAATATACAATACCCAAAAGACAGCCCGTTTTTCAAAAGGGAATACATGATATTATTCTGCTAAAAATATTTTTGGTGCAAATATTTAAAGGAACACTATAGTCACCTAAACAACTTTAGCTTAATGAAGCAGTGTTAGTGTATAGATCATGCTTCTCAGGTTTCACTGCTCAATTCAATGCCATTTAGGATTGAAATCACTTTTTCTGTCACACCTCCCCTTTCACTCAGATGTAATTTACCTTAAACAATTGTATCAGTTCTCTGTAAATGTAACTTTAATCACATACAGGAGGCTCTTGCAGGGTCTAGCAAGCTATTAACAAAACAGGGGATAATAAAATGTAAATTAAACATAACTTGCAATAAAGGAAGAATAAACTTTAGAGGACTCTTTAGAGGAAGTGTTTAGGAAGGCTGTACTAGTCACATGCAGGGAGGTTTAACTAGGGTTCATAAAGTAATTTAACTCCTAAATAGACAGAGAATTGAGCAGTGAGACTGTAGGGGCATGTTCTATACACCAATACTGCTTAATTAAGCTAAAGTTGTTTTGGTGACCTTAGTGTCCCTTTAATGTTTTATTATTATTATAATTTCTACTGCTCTAAGGGAATAGGATCATAATATTTTTTATTATGATTTATGTCACTCAATATGAAATCATAATTTGGTGTAGTTTAAAATGTGTGAATTATTTTTAGATATTTTTTACTATGTATTTTCTGTATAAATTAAAAGATGGAACAAACACAATACAATAAAAATCATTTGCTCATTTTTATTGAAAGCCATGAGTATAGAACACTATTGTTTAATTTCGGGGGATGAAGCAGAAATTATATTACGTGTAAAGATATAATGTGTCGATTATTCATAAAATAACGACTCTCGTGCTGTTATTCACCATGTACACTGTGGAATAATGACCCAAAAATAATGTTTTTCTCTGTATTATTCATGGTGGGTTTTTTTTAAATTTTTTTTTTTTACTATTTGGATTATTGTGTAAATGCAAGTTATTTTCTAAATGAGCATGTTCTGTAGAAAATAAAATTTAATTGACAGTGCAACTCTCAAAAGAAACCTTTTGATATATAAGCAAGCACTAAAGCGTAAATATGATGTTAGCACATGGGTGTGATATGGCATAAAAGCTGAGATTATAAATGTCTTAACTACCCTAACAATGCTTAGCACTTGGCCTCCTTCCAGCACCTGAAGAGTTAAGGGTTTAAGAACATGTCTTTCGAAAAATCATGTCTTTTTTTTTTTCAGTTAATTTACTACACACTTTGTCAATAGACCGTTTACATAAAACCATTACCTTCATGGAGGGTAGGAGAGCAGGAATGTAGAAATATATTGTGAATGTGTATGGCACTGCTGTAGATAATATTTTTTCTGAAACCAGCTGTGTCTAATTAGTGTATAGCTTTGCAACAAAAATTCTAACTATCATTACTTCCGTATAATACTGAATAAATGTTCTCGCTACCTCCTATACTGCTTCTTGATGGTGTTTGTCCTCTATTGAGTTTAACTTTGCATTACTGGACTTTGGGTACTCACAGATCAGGATCTATCATAAGGTGACCTTAGGTGGCTGCCTATTGGTCAGGCAGGGGCCCCAGAACCATCAATGCACTTGGCCTATTCTCTATCCATGTTATCTGTACACAGTAACTGATTTCTTTTCTGCTCCTGAAGCTGCAAGATATCCAGCTTTTTGAGTTTTCTACATTGACTGAGCATGAAAAAATGTGTGTTTTGACCAACACACGCCCTGAACAAATTATTTCCTGTTCTTCCGCAGCCCTAAGCAGTGCTGAGTTTAAACTACCTGTCTCCAAATTGTCTGACACCTTTTCTAGCTAAGCTCTTTGTGTGCGAGTCTTTGTTTTTATAACACCTACCTGTCCTGCGATCACTGTAAATACAATGATGCAAATAACGAAATGCGACAGGTGAAACTCGGACCCAGAAATATTTTTGTCTGACTGGCAGGGTTTTGTGAAGTCAATACATATGGATTCAATCCCTAGAGGAGTCTGATAGAAATGTTCTGTGTACATTGTTTGCATAGTACAGGTTACATTGTCTCACCTGTGTCTTGCATCCGTGAGGCTGAAACATCTCTTTTATTTACATTACTGTAAATAAAATAATTAGTTTTTAGTTAGAAATTCCCGAATTCGTAAATACATTCGTACAATCTTTCTTTCTGTTTTTGGAATATTACATTGTCTTGGGGGAGTAATTTGTTTGTCTGTATGTTTGGTTTTTATTTTGTGTGTGTTTGTTTCCCACAAGGTAAGCTACAGAGGACAGCAGGAAAAGCTGATTCGGATTCGAAATCCTTGGGGTGAAGTAGAATGGACCGGAGCTTGGAGTGACAAGTCAGTACTCAATGCTATAGTTGGGGAATATTTCACAGAATTAGCAAAGAACACCGAATGACTAGGAAATGGAAATTTAGCAATATCCATTTTTAATCAATAAGGTTTAATTACTAAACCATGAACTTGGGTGAATTAAAAAAGCAATTCCTGCTTTTCCAGATATTCTTAAAACGGTAGGTTTGGCCTCTTTTAAGAACTTTCAATTTTCAGTTCAAAACGAGGCAATGTTTAATTAGTAAATTAAATTTTCTCCCTTATACACTACAAACTGTGTCTAGTGCCTTTTGTCATATATAGTGCAATAAAAAAAGTACAAAGTATAAGTAATTAAAGTGGCTTTATTACCTGAAATGTTATTTTTATCATTTATTTTTAAACAATTTAGAATTTCCGTGTAAACATATTTAGCTGTATTTACTAATTGACGATCTGACATTTTATTGGTGTGGAGGTTGCTATCTTGGAACTGCATCCTAATTACAAAAACAATAACGGTAATAAAATAAAATGCTATGTTATTCTTGTAATGCCTGACTGTCTCTCAGCAATTCAACTTGCACCAGAAAAAGGTCTCATGGTACTAAAAGGAAACGATTTGAATTCTGACAATTCTCACAATAGTGAATAACTCTGATAGTGAATAACTCTGATAGTGAATAACTCTGATTGTGCTGGTGAAAGTGTTGCCAGTTAAAGGAATACTATAGCGTTAGGAATGCAAACATGTATTCCTAACGCTATATTGTTTCCCTCACGATTTTAGATTATTGGACCCCTGTAAATTTAATTAAACATGGTTTTCACTTAAATAGAAGTATTCCCTGGATAGAAAATCCAAATAGGGAGTACAGAGAAAAACGGGTTATAAGGGTGGCAATACGGGCATAACCCTGCATAAAGCACAAAATATACAAAAAAGTGAAGAAAGAACAACCCCGTGATAAATCAGGTTGTTCCTCTTCAAACCACCCCAAACAGATCAACGTCTAAGGAAAATAAATAGATTTTATTATTAAGAATAGGACCAAAGAAACCTAAGAACTCATATATGACAGTGGACTAAAAAGTTCTAGTGGAAACAGCATGTATTAATCACTGTTATATGTAGAAAATAGAACTCAAACAAAGTTAAAGCTACATATGATACTGTGAACACACATTGAACCTAACAGAAGGTCAGAGAGTGCAGATTGAATAAACTTGTATGAAAAGAGTCAATTAATGAGGAGGACCATATAAATAAAGAGGAACCTTCAAGCTGAAAAAGTCAGTCTCATAATAACTCCATATTATACTATGTGGTCGCCCCGGTGTGTATAAGCACTGAGTAAACTATTAATAAAAGTCCACTGAAAATAAATGAGAAAAAGGTATATTCAAACAAAAACAAATAAATCAAATTACCTAAGGACTCACAGATATAACACAATACTGTCTATAAACTGCAAGGTTCCAGTATAAATGGAAGTGGTCAAAGCACTATCCCATATAATAGTCTAAACTCAAAAAGAGTTAGTGCTGAGTATGATTGTATACATGAAACCTGCAGAAAGTCAGAAAGTGCAATTTAGTAGACTTGCATTGGAAATCGAAAGGATAGGGAAGATATTATAAGCAGAGAGGGATATAAAAAGTGGAGATGGATATAGATATAAATATAAAGTAAGCCTAAATAGGACAGACAAAACTAAATAAATCCACCTCACAGTAAATCCCTACTAGTTAGTCGTCCCGGTATGTAAAACCGATCAAAACAAGCCCAACGCGCGTTTCGGCGGGTAAACCGCCTTTCTCAAGAGCAAAATATAATGTATCAAAATAGTGTATCTAATGTATCAAAATAGTGAAAATAGTTTTCACTTACCTTGTTTCCAGCACCTGAGAAGCAGATGTGCGGCATGCGCCATTCTCATCCAATCAAATGCTTCTCATAGGGATGCAATGCATGAGGACGTCAAACCTCAAATAACTAAATCAAACTCCATTATGTGTGGAAGCGCCCTCTAGTGGCTGTCAGGAAGACAGTCCTATCTATCATGGAAGACAGCCACTAGAGGTGTGTTTGACACTGTAAGTAAATATCTACCAAACAGCAATGCTTTACATTGTGGAGTTAAAACGCCACGGTCACCGCACCCAAACCACTTCATAGAGATTAAGTGATCTGGGTGTCTTTCGTGTCCCTTTTAACAGCAAATAGATTCACAATAAACCACTCTGAGAAGTGCTGGTGTTGCTTATCAGTTTTGTAGAACCAGAGCATCCTCGTCAGCCCCCTCACTTTTAGTAAGTGCTCAGCTTGTTACAATTCATACGTAGAATTGGTGGCTTAGGGCTGCTATTTTCATCAATTTAGTTTCTTGCTATTGTCCCTGGTAAATGGATAATCAGAGTTTTAGGTAGTTTACATGTGGTTCATGGTGATCTGAAGAACATGATGATGACAGTCACTTCACTGATACTTTGTACATGGTTTATAAGAATACACATTTAAAAGACTAGGAGTGGAATACCTCCATGCAGACAGTAATATAAACAATTACCCCTATGCTGTAAGCAGGCCTTTGTGTGGGTGGATTTGGGGTATAAACAGTAAATCCACAGAAAACTGTTATAACCTTAATAAAAGCCATAATTGGACCAAGGTTCTGAATATTGTGTTCCATATGTGAGCCTTCAAAACAGCCATCGGCTTATCCTCTTCTTTTATGGTAAAGCTCATCCTATTCTCCTGAATGCTGCTGTGCTTATTAGATATTTATTTTTATATTTTATTTATTATTTTATATATATTGTTTTGTTTGCTTTGATTAAATCCTGCATGTTGTATTTACAGTTCTAATGAATGGAACTCTGTGGATCCGGACGTACGTGACAAGCTAATTAAGAGATGTGACGATGGAGAGTTTTGGTATGAAGAATAAATGTGTTATGTCTATAAATTATTACAGTTTCTCAGTAGACAATAGAAGTCTTACCTTATCCAAATGGGTTCTAAGAAGCACAGAATGCTGATAAATGATATTTAACTGTCCTATAAAAAAAGACCAGGTAATTCTAACCTTCAGACAGCGGACTCAATTTCCAATGATTCTCAGCCAGACTGAGAGCTTGCTGGTCATTATGGGAAATATAGTCCATAGCCTCCAGAGTGCGAGTTGCTACTGCTGGACGGCACAATGGCAGATGGGAATGATTACATACAAATGTCAGGAAGCAGTGGGGAAAGCATATTAAATACAATGGAATGTAGGGCCTGGATCCTGATGTTTATGTGCATGCCGAAAGAATAACATCACAGGGCTGTCTGTCTATATTTGAATGAAAGAAAGTAAAATACAGTGACTGTCATGTAAATGAGCACTACATGTTAGATTTGGCATGAGTAACTGGAATGTAAGTTGCTGGGATTGTCTGCCAAAACACTGACAAGGGCTTTAACTTGCAGAACATATATCTCAGTCAGTGCTCCATTAAGACATCTAATCACAGGGGTAGGCAACCTTTGACACTCCAGATGTTGTGGACTACATCTTCCCTGATGTTTTTGAGGATTATGGGAGATGATAAAGGTTGCCTACCCCTAATCTAATGTTACTTTTCTGACAACAGCTCCAGCTTGCAAGCGAGGGTGAGACTGATTTGCTAAAGGTTGCCTACCCCTAATCTAATGTTACTTTTCTGACAACAGCTCCAGCTTGCAAGCGAGGGTGAGACTGATTTGGTTTCTCCCTTCCCCTCACCCCCACCCCCCAAACACAGAATAATTCCCTTTGGTCCTAACATCCAAACATATCTATAAATCTTCATATGATATTAAAATTTAGCCAGCCAGCCTTTAGCCAGTGTTTTGGGACTGTCACAAATGTACATCATATCTCACTGATGTCCTGTCTTCAGCAGTTTCTTTTTAAATTTGCTGGAACATCTTAAAAACCTAGTAAAAATCTTCACCTGTTTGTGGTTAACGTTATTGTAATAGTGTCTCTGAGATGCGTTGTATAGGCAGAGTGAGTCCAGGCATTTTAATTGGCAAGAAAGGGAACATTTCTGTTAATATGGACAGTCTTTTTCAAGTCATAACATCATTGAATTACACACACATATACATACCACCCCTACACACACATCCTTCACCTGATTCAGTAAGTAAATAGTCTTTCTGGTTAAGCAATCACCTGAATGAACAACCCCACATTGAAAAGAAAAAATGAAAGAAATGTGTGTGTGCTGTTCAATGAAATGTTTTCATGTTGTGCTTGTTGTTCTTATGATGGACTTTGTGCGCCTGAGCTCTCTCTGCATTTGGAAGTAGTAAGGGGGCTTGCCATCTCTTGAGCCTGCAGTATATTATTTGGGTAAATACTTTGTTACTGTTTTGACCAATTATCCTGTCTTCTGTAGGATGTCTTTCAATGACTTCTTAAGGCACTATTCACGGGTGGAAATCTGTAACCTCACGCCTGACACTCTGTCTTCTGATAAATACAAGAAATGGAGTTTGACAAAGATGGATGGCACCTGGCGGAGAGGCTCCACTGCGGGAGGATGCCGAAATTTCCCAGGTGAGTTCCCAAAACTAGGTTTATATGTTTCTTGTGGGCTGGGGGCAATGGAAAGTCATCTTTATTAGGGAGTCTCTTTTTTTTTTTTTTTTTTGTCATTGAAATTATTAACCCTTAAAGTCATCTCATATATTTAAAAAAAACAACTATGTGGAGGAACTAAGTGGCAGAATTTTAATATTAGACATGGTTTATATGTTCAACCCCTTAACCATTATGCCATTTCACACCCATGTGTTAAATCCATGTTTACGTTTTTGCAATCATTGCATTAACACACCAATGTCAGTACAGATATCTGTGAGTTACTGTCCAAAAATTATATATTGTTTTGGGTTTTGTATCAACAGATACATAAGTGTATTACACTTTTAGGTAATAATTCTAGTTTGCAAAACAATCCAAACACTGAAAAAAACACCATACAAAATGCAAACTCAAAAAATTAAGATTGGTGCAATTTTCCATATTGCATATGGTAAGCAACAGTATGGTAGTCATTTTCTTATAAATATTTCAAAAATACAATCTTCTTGGCCCTGCACATTTTACAACAGTTCAGCTTCCAGAAAATACAAATTTAGAAGATAAAACATAGATTTTATTAACTTTCTACAATCTAGTAATTTATGTACAAAAAGCATAAGAATAAAATGTTTGTAAAGAATATTGCACATATTTTTAAAGTACAGCAAAGTTGGATCTCACAGTACTTAATCTTACTCATTATAATAAAATAATCAATATCCTACCTCAGTACAAATTCATTTACTATAATAAGTTAATAAGTAAATTGAAGAAGTAAGTTGTGTATTTTTTAAATATCCAGATGCTATGGGCTCTCAGGACAAATAGTCAGATTTCTCTGTCACACAGCTTAGTCTTCACAAGATTTTACCCATGTTTTGCACCAAACACACTATCAAACTTTGCCTGCCCTGCACTTTGGTGACATCATCAATAGAAGCAGATGTTGTATGTGCCTTACACATCTGTCCATGGGGGCTTCTAGAGGCCAATTCCTCACATGACCTTCTTGAGATTTTAATACAGCTTTTCAGTTTTATCCTGAACCTCCCTAAAGACACTGCAGTACAGTTGCCCCACTACAGGATATTATCTAGTGCCTTCATAATTACACACCCAAAGAGGATCTGATGCCAAGTACCTGTACCTGAACGGTCTACTCTTGTGGCTTTCACAGCTGTAGGATCCACTGTTTCATATTTACCTCCATGCTTGGGGTTCTATGTTTAATTTGATAAAAGGGGAAGTTTGCCCAATTGCCCATCAGAATAATAGAGAAGATACATTTATGTACATACTATGGACTGTTTCCCTTTCCTCCTCTATCGCCGCCACCCCTTATTTTCTTTCTACTTTTTCTCCATCTTCCCTGCATAAAAAGAGGCAAAATTTCAGCCCTACATGAGCCTTTGTCAAGCTTTGTTCTTGACATGGACTCATGTAGAGCAGAAACGTTGCCTTATTCTATCCAATAAATCTGTCCTGGACCTCAGCCTGTGCTCAGCCCTTGTTTGGTTTTAATGTACAAAAGCCTGGTCACCTCCGGATTGGAGGCATGGTTTGTAGAAGACGTGCCTAACCTATTATTATTTCTGCTTTGTTTTGTACTGGGCTGAGTCAGGTCCTACTATGCGTAGCTATGAAAACCTTGCACGTGAGAAGTTATAAATTAAATCAACTTGCTAAATCTAAACCAGCATTTTGTTATGAGTCCTCTACTCACATACTCACACATTGATTCCATTACTTGATTTATTATGGCCTCGATTTAATATTTTTGAATAAGCATTTCGAATTATACAAATCTGTATATTTCCAAATTATTTATCTACAGAAGTCACAGTTAAAGTATATGGGAATATTTGCAGATACATCAGTTGGATAACTTTTCTGATAGGATTGTATCATTTGAAAACCTTATCCAAAAGAATTAACTCCAGGCCTGCATCGGGTCACAGAAACCTTTTACCTCCTTGTAGAAGGAGTTTGACAGCTGTCAATGTGATTCCCTACAGACACGTTCTGGATCAACCCCCAGTATGTCATCAAGCTGGAAGAGGCAGATGATGATCCAGATGATGATGAAGAAGGTTGTACTTTCATTGTTGGTCTGATCCAGAAAAACCGCAGGAAGGCAAGAAAAATGGGCGAGGACATGCACACAATCGGCTTCGCTATTTACGATGTACGTTCACATGATGAAAAATGAAAATATAATTTTGTACTTTTTCTACCTTATTTTGACACAAGCATCTTATCTATCAGTCCCTACTCCCTCTAATATACTATTATTTCTCTTGTGTGTCTTTACTCCTTCCTCCTAGACTGTAAGCTTGTTTGACCAGAGTCTTATTTTCCTTCTGTCAATATCTTTTGTATACAGAGAGTCCAGGCTCACACATTGCATCATACTGCAGACTGTTTATTGGTATAAGGACAACTTGACAATGTTTTGCCCGACATAGACGACCTGTGAACAGTCTGTTGACTCTGTGCCTGGACTCTCTCTGTATTTGGGAGTACTATGGGAGTTTGCGATCCCCAGAGCGCCAATATATTGTTTGCATAAATTACCTCATAGGATGTGCGAAGTCCCCACTGGAATCTTATTTGGTTAAATATTATTTTGTATTTCAATAACTTTGTGTCAAATAATTGTAAAGCGCTGAGGAATATGTTAGCGTTATATAAATAATAGTAATAGTAAATAATCCTGTGCAAATAAGTGATAGATGGTAAGTTATCATTACAATGAAAAACTTTAAGGTTCCTTTTTTTACTAGAGTGCAAATTCTAAGCCAAAGTCTGCTATTTTGGCCTGAAATCTGCTCTCCATTGTCTATTCTCTATAATTCCGTGTTTGGGAAGGAATCTTAAAGGAATGAAATGCTTTGAGGTCCACCATGCTCATGCTCTTGAGAACCTTCCACATTCATTTACTTTCTCTCTGTTATTTCCACTTTTGACTCATCTCACTGTTAACCTCCAGAAACTCATTCATCCTGTTTCTGGGTTTTTTGGCCCAGGCATGTCTCTGCTTCTTGTTCTGCACTCTTAGCAATTGTCCTTGGCAACACGTCTTCCAGTTATACTAGTTTCATGCAATATCCGTCAGTCGATGCTGAAACATTGTTACTTCTGGTAGCATTTAGCTGAGTTTGCAGTTCGGTAATTGTGTTTTTGGCAGACTTGGGACCAGAACAAACTTTTTGGATTCTGAGATTGGCCTGATTGCTTTGTTCTGTCTTTGTGAGCTCAAGAAATGTGTAGAGTCTGAATGTCATTTCCAGGAATGATAGAGTTAACAGAAGCTTTATCCACATTATAACCTGCTTCCTGGTTAATCTCAATCAGATTAAATCATATTTAGCCTCAGTCACACAGCATTTTTATAGACAGGTTTATATAACTGGCAGGTTCTTCAAAAAATCCTAAGGGATGAATGAGGTTGAAATGTATTTCAGACTCTACTCCGGGACTTCCAATAAAGATTCAGTAATTGAGAAGAATATGGAAAATGATTGCATTCAGGAAACTACTCTTGAATAGGTGGTGCAGTTCATATGGTAACATTATCTTCCAGGGATATGGAAACATTATCACAGGAAAATATTTTGACTTTTTCCAGGCAGTAACTCATTTGGATGTAGATTGTAGTGCAGGTGGTAACTATATCACATTTTTCTACAGAGTTAATGATGGTGCTTTATAAATGCCAGTAATAATGATAATAATATAGATACATGGTCCAGGTGTTCTTACACAAGCTTCTAATTTGGTTTTTAAACTTCTCATCTTCCACTTTACCTCGTGATGCTGACTTGTTTTCTGGTAGTCAGTGGCTATCCCATGACGTGTCCCTCAGTCTTTGATTTTGACCTCTCTTCCTCGTTGTGGATGTAATAGGTCCAATCTTTCTTATTATTTCAGTCTGTTCCCCTGACAGCTTAAATGTTTGAACAATGCACCTGCTATTCGGGCACTGACTAAATATCTGTTTGAATCAGCTTGTATGCAGTGTTTGATAACTTGTATAACTAAATATTAATTGCTAGACCTCTTTTATATTTGCCAGACTGCAAATTGGCCATTAACCCAATGTGACTCACCTGTGCAGCAGCAAATTTATACTCCTGTTCAAGTAGTTTTGGTGATAACGTGTGAGTTATAAAGTGTGTGTGAAATAAGTGAAATTTTAAAGTAACAGTAAATGTTGACGGTATATCTCTCCCTAAACCTTAAATGTAACAGAAGTACGGACTTCTGTGCATCAAGGATATAGACACACTACAAATATAACACTTACTTGAAAAGTAAACATGGTTGTTAACATGAAGTTCTCTTTAAAAGATTTTAAAAACAATAAGACAAAAATAGAGCAGACAACTTCAAGTTAATAAATGTCTTTCATTTTCGAGTAAGTGTTACTTTTGTAGTGTGTCTGTATCTTTGGGATGCAAGGTCGGGATTTCTGCCTCTTGTATTTTAAAGAGAATATATACACTCTTTGTTGGGTACCTTCGCTACAGGTGGGATTCTAAGACAATTGATATTTAAGGTTTGCTCATTTTATTTTTTATTTTTTTGTGTGTGTTTTGCCTAAGTCTTGAAAGCCAGTTTTAACCCCCCTATTTTTTTTATGCGTGTAAATTCGACATACATGATAAGTGACAAATGATAATGTACCTTTAATTAAAAAAAAATATTTCTTTGTTTCCCATTCCTGTCTTTAGGTCCCTCAACAGGTACGTTGACTTTGTGCAATTTAACATTTAATGAATAAAAAACATTCTCTATTAATAAATCTAACGGAGGATAATGTGCAAAGTATTATATATAACATAGAAACATAGAATGTGACGGCAGATAAGAACCATTCGGCCCATCTAGTCTGCCCAATTTTCTAAATACTTTCATTAGTCCCTGGCCTTATCTTATAGTTAGGATAGCCTTAGGCCTATCCCACGCATGCTTAAACTCCTTTACTGTGTTAACCTCTACCACTTCAGCTGGAAGGCACTTCCATGCATCCACTACCCTCTCAGTAAAGTAATACTTCCTGATGTTATTTTTAAACCTTTGTCCCTCTAATTTAAGACTATGTCCTCTTGTTGTGGTAGTTTTTCTTCTTTTAAATATAGTCTCCTCCTTTACTGTGTTGATTCCCTTTATATATTTAAATGTTTCTATCTTATCCCCCTGTCTCGTCTTTCCTCCAAGCTATAAGAATAGAATGTTGTAGCGGAACCATCACTTAGTCTTGTACATTATTACTGTAATGTTTGTGATTGTCTTACTCCATCATATATTGAACACTATTACTATCTTTATACTAATGTGGCAAAAAGCAGTTCTCTATGGGGTAATATATTTACTATATTATATACTGACTATTATCTTATTGGAACATCAACACAAAGGTGCCATGTATGTATTAGTTGTCTTACTGAGGCTTTTTTGGGGCTTTGCGCTTGCAGTTACTCTGTGTAATATTCGCCACATTACTAATTCAAATTTTTTTTATTTACATTTTTTTTTAAATCCCTATAGCAATCATAAATGATTAATTTGAATGATTAATGTAAAAATGTGTGCGCAGATTGCCTTTTGAAAGTTGTGAAAACACTTTACCAAATATTTTTAAAGCGAGATCAGCACAAATGGTGTGTGAATATATCTGAAATTTACTAATCAATTTCAAAAACACAGATAAAAAGTAATTACTTTACGACATATGTGGTTTGGGGTTTTCTATTTTTTGGCACTTTGTTTGCACGTACCTCCCATAATACAACAAACAAGCAGGTTGCGCATAATATTCAAAAGAATACTGTAATAAGTATAAAAGAGTCCACAGGACACAGTCCACGTTTTAAGCATTCACCAAATGACCTTGCTTCCTCCAGCGTTATAATTCTTTATCCGTGGGTACATGTAAAAGAGGGAGGGAGAAAAAAAAAAGACCCTATGGTTCAGTATTTTTCCTAAGTGAAGACACACAACATTCGTGTACAAATTCACACTCACATAATATGGAGCTTCAAACAGCTCCAGTCACAACAGCATGTAGTGGATAACATAGCACAGTGAGCTCACATAACAAGTAGAGGGTATTTGTGGTTGTTTGTTCAGTGTTAATGCATGCAGTTCCTCCTGACACGCGCCCACGAGGAACCCCTGTCTGTTTATTTCCTTTTAGATGGTTGGGAAGACGGACCTCCACCTTAGCAGAGATTTTTTCCTAAGAAATAAGGCCAGAGAAAGATCAGACACCTTCATCAACCTTCGTGAAGTACTTAACCGGTTTAAACTCCCACCAGGAGAATATGTCCTAGTCCCATCAACCTTCGAACCTCATAAAATGGGAGACTTCTGCCTCCGTGTGTTTGCTGAGAAGAATGCTGAGGCTGTGTATGTAACAAAACTATCTGTTTTATGGGTTAAAACCTGGGGGAATAGTAACATTTGGCTCAGCAGCTCCTTTTTGTTGCCTGAGCATAATGTGTGCAGCTCTTTCCAGCACCTAGAATACGTGTTATCTGATCCACAATGTATTCCTGGCCCTTTTTTCTCTTTCTCATGCTATTGAGCAGTACATGCTGTTAAGATCCAGTATATAGCAATCCTCTGTTAATTCATTGTTTTCCCTCCTATATCAAAGGATCTCCCTTTTGCAGCATCAATATTACATAATGCAGGGCAGCACTTGCCTTGTACTGCCCAAAAAATGAAACATAGAAACATAGAATGTGACGGCAGATAAGAACCATTGGGCCCATCTAGCCTGCCCAATTTTCTAAATACTTTCATTAGTCCCTGGCCTTATCTTATACTTAGGATGGTCTTATGCCTATCCCATGCATGCTTAATCTCCCTCACTGTGTTAACCTCTACCACTGCAGCTGGAAGGCTATTCAATGCATCCACTACCCTCTGAGTAAAGTAATACTTCCTGATATTATTGTTAAACCTTTGCCCCTCTAATTTAAGACCTCTTGTTGTGGTAGTTTTTCTTCTTTTAAATATAGTCTCCTCCTTTACTGTGTTTATTCCCTTTATGTATTGAAATGTTTCTATCATACCCCCCCCCGTCTCGTCTTTCCTTCAATCTATACATGTTAAGATCCTTTAACCTTTCCTGGTAAGTTTTATCCTGCAATCCATGTACCAGTTTAGTAGCACTTCTCTGAACTCTCTCTAAGGTATCAATATCCTTCTGAAAATACGGTCTCCAGTATTATGTAAAATTCTCCAAGTGAGGTCTCACCAGTGTTCTGTACAATGACATGAGCACTTCCCTCTTTCTACTGCTAATACCTCTCCCTATACAACCAAGCATTCTGCTAGCATTTCCAGCTGTTCTATTACATTGTCTGCCTACCTTTAAGTCATCAGTAATAATCACCTCTAAATCCCTTTCCTCAGATGTTGAGGTTAAGACTCAAATATTCTGTACTCTTCCCTTGGGTTTTTACGTCCAATATGCATTATCTTGCACTTATCCACATTAAATGTCAGTTGCCACAACTCTGACCATTTGGCTTATCCCTCCTGGAACATCAAAGCTGTTACATATCTTAGTATCATCGGCAAAAAGGCATACCTTACCATCAAGACCTTCTGCAATATAACTAATAAAAATATTAGAGAGAATTGGTCCAAGTACAGATCCCTGAGGTACCCCACTGGTGAAAAGCCCAAGCTTTGAATATACTCCATTGACTACAACCCTCTGTTGCCTGTCACTCAGCCACTGCCTTATCCATTCAACAATATTTGAATCCAAGCTTAAAGATTGGAATGTATTGATAAGCCATCTATGTGCAACAGTGTCAAAAGCCTTACTGAAATCTAGGTAAGCAATGTCTACTGGACCACCCTGATCTATTATTTTAGTTACCTAATCAAAAAAATCAATAAGATTAGTTTGGCATGATCTCCCTGAAGTAAACCCATGTTGTCTCTGATCTTGAAATCCATGTGTTTTTACATGTTCAACAATCCTACCCTTTAACATGGTTTCCATTACTTTCCCCACTACTGAAGTAAGGCTTACTGGCCTATAGTTGCCCGACTCCTCCCTATTACCTTTCTTGTGAATGGTCACAACATTTGCTAACTTCCAATCTTCTGGGACTACTCCTGTTAACAATGATTGGTTAAATAAATCTGTTAATGGTTTTGGTAGTACACCACTAAGCTCTTTTAATAACTTTGGGTTTATTCCATCAGGTTCCATTGACTTATTTGTCTTTACTTTTGACAGTTGAAATATAACCTCTTCCTCTGTAAACTCACATTTAATAAATTACTAATTTGTCCTTTTTCCTAACTGAGGTCCCTTTCCTTCATTTTCATCTGTAAATACCGAACAAAAATATTAATTGAGGCAGTTCGCTAGACCTTTATCCTCTTATACATACCTTCCTTCTTTTGTTTTTAATCTAAAAAAATTGTGTCCCCTTGTGTGATTTGGAAGCTCTTATAACTTGATTAGCCTCTTTCTGCCTAATCTTATAGATCATTCTGTCTTCCTCACTCTGTTTTTTTTTTATAATTACTAAATGCTAACTTTTAGTTTTTTACTATTTTGGCCACATCTGCGGAGTACCACAGTGGTTTCTTGAATGTGTTTACTTTTACTGACAAGCCTAATGTAATTTTCTGTTGCCTTCAGCAGTGCAACTTTTAAATAATCCCATATCTCTTGGACTCCATTTAAATTGCTCCAGTCTGATAATGACTTCCTTACACATATTCTAATTTTAGAAAAGTCTGTTTTTTTTTAAAGTCTAAAACGATTTTTTTTGTGCGGTGTGACTCAGTCACTGTTCTTATATTAAACCACACTGACTAATGATCACTGGATCCTAAACTTTCACCTACAGTAATATCTGATACCAAATCTCCATTTGTTAACACTAAATCTAGTATGGCCTCTTTACGAGTTGGCTCCTCAACGACTTGTTTTAGAGACAATCCCAGTAGGGAGTTTAGAATATGTGTGCTCCTGGCACATGCAGCTATTTTGGTTTTCCAATTCACATCAGGAAGATTAAAGTCACCCATGATGATAACTTCCCCCTTCATTGTCATTTTAGTTATTTCCTCAACTAGTAGATTATCTAACTATTCTATTTGTCCTGGGGGCCTATAAATTACACCTACACGAGTTACTGTGTGATTACCAAATTCTAACGTAACCCAAACCGACTCTATGTTCTCCTCACTAACTTTTATTAGGCTAGATTTTATGCTATCTTTCACATACAGGGCCACCCTCCCCCTTTCTTGCCTTCCCTGTCTTTTCTATATAAAGAGTACCCTGGTATTGCTATGTCCCAGTCATTTTTCTCATTATACAATGTCTCAGGAACGGCGACTAAATCTACATTATCAGTTGCCATTATTGCCACAAGTTCAGGGATCTTATTCCCTAAACTGCGTGCATTTGTAGACATGACTCTAAGCTTATCATTTTTTAACACACTTGCTACATGCACCTTCTGTCCTTGTTTTGTGGGGCAATTGGATTGATGTTTTATCACCCTTTTGCCCCCCCTCCTAGTTTAAATACATCCTAGCAAAACCTTTGAACTGCTCACTGAGAACATTTGTTCCCTTTTGAGAAAAATGCAAACCATCTTTTTTGTATAGTTTATTTCCATTCCAAACAGAGCTACCATGAGAAATAAAGCCAAATACTTGCTCCCGACACCATTCACCAAGCCACAAGTTAAAGTCCCTAATACGCATCCGCCTGTCATTCTGAGTGTTATGCACAGGCAGAACTTCAGAGAATGACAGTGTGGAAGCAACCTGCCGTATATCATTGGCAAAAACACTAAAAACTTCCTTAACCTCTGAAACCTCATTGCAAGCCAAGTCATTTGTCCCTAGATGGACAAGTACATCCAATTCCCCTTCCTGCTTTGCTCGCTTAACAATATTACAGATACGTCTCCTGTCTCTGTGAGCAGTAGCTCCGGGAAGACATCTCACAAGACCATCATTGTCCATCTCCACACCTCTTAAAATGGAATCCCCCAACAAAAACTGCTTTCTATTAGGCCTCACCATAGTCTTCAAGCTGGTCTCCACAACACCACTACCCTCAGTGCCTGAGCCTGTCTCCACAACACCACTACCCTCAGTACCTGATCCTGTCTCCACAACACCACTACCCTCAGTACCTGAGCCTGTCTCCACAACACCACTACCCTCAGTCCACAACAACACTACCGGTGTCCAGGAAAACATGGAAAACAGGGTGGATTTGGCAGTGTTATATCCTGATGCTGCAATTTATGATTTCCATTTTGCTCATACGGCAATCCTAGCTGCAACAACAGAGGTTCCCTGTCCCGTTATAAACTGTATGATTATATCCATGTCACGGATTCACTAAGGGTGATTGGATATTCACTAACATTCGCTATCCTATCCATACAGGCTGACAATTTGCATGAATGAAATGCCTTGTTTGTGTCTTCACAGAAGGTAGTTGTGTTACCAAAAGTTTGTTATAAAACAAATATAAAAACTAGAACAATATGTGTGTATATATATATATATATATATATGTGTATGTGTATGTGTGTGTGTGTGTGTGTATATATATATATATATACACAAAAATTAAATAACAATGTTATATTGTTTTTAACTTTTTTTTTGTAGTGTGGCAGATGATAAAATTGAGGCAAACCTCCCAGAGGTAACGTACTTTTGACTTAATATAATCGTATAAACATGTGGAAATTCGTTTGTGAAACCTGTATTTAAAGGGACGTACGCCACGTAGAAAATGAACTGCAACATTATTATTTATGTGTGATAAATAACCATAAAATGCTAATGAAAATACACCATGGCTTAAAATAAATTTCTCATGTTTGGATTTAATAATAAGTATAAAAACAAACTAATATATTTTATACCAGAAACACTTCGTTATCAAAAATATGCACACAGTCTCAGTAGCACTCAGTGTGCTGTTTTTAATTCACAACCTGGCTGCCGACAGACAGAGAATCTACACACAGGTAGTGATATCCTCACTATATAACTGCCTGGGTGTCCTCTCCTTCTAATGCAGATTGTTTTGTTGTTCAGATCAATCGATACTGTCAGTGGCTGAGCTGTGTACATACATTTGATAAGGAAGTCATTTTCTGGAGTGAGGGGACGTGGCAAAGGAGGCAGGCTTATGGTGCAGCATTTTGCAAAACATTAATTTATTTTATGGAAAAATATAAAAATTTGAGCATGCAAAAAATATAGCATATTAATGCATTAATATTAATCAAATGCATTAAAGTTGTAATGGTGCCTGGAGTGACCCTTTTAATTAAATTCTGTAGTTAAATCTTGCCCTGTGAACATCAATGCCCCTAGCTTCCTTTTTTATTATTTTTTTAACATATCTTGCATGCATACAGTATACATGTGTAAACGTTGCTCCATTACATATAGGCGATTTTTAATGAATCACAGTTTACTGTCAGACCTAAACCAACCTAGCAGGCTCAGCTAAACTTTCAGACTCTTCCTCATCAGACATCCACGTGCTCTAAGCATGCAGGGAAATTTTGGGTTATTATGCCACATTATCATAGGCCACAAATGACTAATTTAAATGAAATGTCTCTGTTGCGTCAGAAAAAAAATATTGGATATTAAAAACTTGCAGCAAGAGGAAAAAAAGGATGAATAATCAATCTGATTGTGAGATGACCAGAGTGTTTTGTGAATAAATATTGTATCACAGTGAGCTGGTACAGCATAATCTTAAGTGTCCCTATTTATGAGAGACAGTCCCTATTTGGAGCCTTAATCCCTCTGTTCTATCTTAATGTCCCTCGTTTCTAGGAGCTCTGTATTGTTTGTGTGTCTGAGTGTATAACAGAGCTCCACAGCAATAATACTCCCAGTAATGTGCCTTTAAACTACAATAAATGTATTTAGAAATCAGTCTGTGTAAATAAGATACATTGTTCTGGTTCCATGTTACATTTTAGTTTTTATAAATTGTTATTAGTAAGTCACTTAAACTTTCTCAGAACAGCCGCGCCCCTGATCACCCCCAACTCACACCCCTAATCTTTGTCCATTTGAAGTGGGTGTTGGATGGTGAGGTCCAGTGTGGCCTACATTGGTTCTCCTGTGGCCTTCTTTTTCTGTTAAATTTTCGTTTCCATGATGTTCCCTGTCAGGATGACTTCACTGAAGACCAGATCGATCCCAGTTTCAAGAGATTGTTCCAGCAGCTGGCGGGAGAGGTGAGTCTGTGGAGATACCTGAATGGTTCTTCTTTAATAGCTATCCAATACTTACTGCACATTCACTCATTCCTTTCACTGTCCAGGAGATGCACATAGGGCTGCATGGGGTCTACACTTATACCAATCAATGTAATGCAGGGCACACAATGAAGGTATATACAAGCTAGAATCAGAAGGAGCGCACGGTTATTACCCTGTTTCCCTCAGGGCATAGTCTATACTCTACATACAATACAACATATTAAATAAAATAGGGCACACCAAATAATAAAACAAAATAACACATCCTGATTGTATATTTTTTTATTGTCTGTTTTTTAATCAAAAAGGTGTTGTGTACGGTAATAACGCATCATCCGTTTGGCTAACTTTATATGTACTATTTGTGACTCCAATAATTGCCGATTTTGATTGACTCGTAATAATAACCGATAAAACAAAAACAAACAAGACAATCTTTATTAGAAACACAAATCCCAATTATTAGTCCTCTCAGTTATAGAAATCCATAATACAACCTAGAGTAGTAAATAGAATAGTCCAAAGTTTAGGTGACTACCGGTAGGGTCTTAAACCCACGTGTTCTACCACAAGAACTTACCAGCATAGTTTTAACCAGGAATGCTCAGTGTGTGATCGCTCATGTTGGCGTGTGTGTGTTTTTGTACCAGATAACAGTTTTTCTTTCTCTCTCCAGTGAAAGACCATTCATCCCCCCTTATAAAGTATTTTGATACAGTAGTGACGACAACTGACTCATTTAGATTATTTTATTATGAATGTATGTTTCTATTTGCAGTCTATTTACAGACTTTGTTCAATTTTTATTCCAAAATATTCCCCACTAACTGAATTTTGTGTTTTATTTATTTTCAATCTTCATAGATGTCACCAGAGGTATGATGTGTGACATGTGTTGTGTTGTATATAAGGGTTGATTCAATTACGTGTAATCTTTGATGCACACTGTAATTAGATACGTACTATAATCACGTTTACTGCGCAGCAAACTCTACAGAGGCCAAAACCCAGAGCAGCATCCTTGTTACTTACACACATTAGAAAGAAAGGGCACATAATTGAATCATGCATATTGTATGGAATTTGTTTGGCTTTTATCCTCTAAATCCCTACCTTCCCCTCTCCACTAGCTTTCCAGAATGCTGTGTCCCTCTCTCAGACTCGGACCATTCCGAATTCGACACAAACTTGCAAACGCTTTACATGATTGGCTTTTCGTGCTAGCGAAAGGCAACACACTTTTTCCCTATTACGTTAATTTTGCACATTTGAAGGCCCCTTATTATAAAGCAATAGCCTATGGCTCCCTATCATGGAGAATATAGCAATTTATTTATTATTTGCTTGTGCGCCATTAAGCGATTGCCCGGCGTCCATTCCTGCAGTATGCTGGGAGCATGTCTGGCACAGCTAAAGAGTCCGCTTCTTCAAAAACAGTTTATTTGATAAACCAGTACCTGCGGTGAAATGACAACCTGAATGTAGGCTAAATTAAGCATGTTATAAAAATCTGAGTTGAATTTGGTCAAAGTATTGATGAGGATTCAGGAGTATTTTTGATCAAGTATAGTTGGTATGTATGACATTTTTTTTTAAATGAATTTGGGGAGGTTGGATGATAACCGAGCTAGTGACAGAGTGGGGGCGAGGGGAGGATTAATATTGTTTGTGATGAGGGGTAATCAGATTTAGGAATACTCTAGGCAGGCATTAACCTTCACACCCTCCCTTCCCCCAGATAGTGTGGACTACACCTCCCATGATGTTTTGGTAGCGTTATGGGAGATGTAGTCAAAAACATCTGGAGTGCCGAAGGTTGCCTACCCCTGCGCCTGGTACCTTAGATGCAGCTAAAATAAAGGGCTAATTCTACCTTAATGTAAATTAGGCATTTTCCTGAGAACCGAGTAAAATGGATGCTTCTAGCCACATGGACCAGAATACTTCCCCGACTGATTCAGAGCCTTTTCTTGGGGTCTGTATCTCTGGTCGCTGCACCTCACTGTTAACATAGCCTCTTCTTAATGTGCTCCTAGCTGGGGTATCTAGCCACTACTCTAATTCATACAGGAGGGCAAAACAATGAGAGAGCAACAAAGGGCAACCTCACCGACACACAACAAGGAGCCTCCCCTCACACAATCCCCCAAATATAAAGTGAAATAACCCCCAGTTAGGCAGCACGCCCTGCTTTCTAAAGCTGTTTTTTTTCTCTCTCCTTTAGGTCTTTATAAAATGTGCAAAATTAGTAGACTGATGCGTATTTAGAATTTAGAGGTGTGGTTGCTGGTGGCCTATTGTACAGTGCTACAGAATCTGATGGCGCTATATAAATAATAATAAGTACAAAAATACTCCCATCGTTCCATTAAACATGTTAAATCATCAGCTTCCTGTTCTGGCTGCAATAGTCCTCACACTCTGTATCATTTATTATTTCTGCATCACTTTAGTCCACGTACATTTTTTGTTGGTTAGGTCAAAAGTAGAGATTGCAGCATAGGTAGAGTTAAAATCTAACTGATGCCTGTCGCTGTGACAATGCCCAGCCGCCACGTTTCCACTTTTAGTGAATAGCTGATAAATCCATTAAAGTTTCCTCCAGTGATGCCTAATAGCCTGTACAGCCCGGCTGTCATGTCACAAGCCGTGTGGGAACTTCGAGCCCCAGGGAGAATGTATCCAGGAAGATCACAAGGTTCTGTGTTACTCTGTTACGCTCTATTACATTATACCGCAATGTTATTTGTTGTTCTTTTTTTCTCCCAGGATAAAGAGATCTCAGTGTTCGAACTTTGCAACATCCTCAACAAAGTGATGGCAAATCGTAAGTCTCAGCGTATCTCTGCTTTATGCTATACTTTGGGTTTTTAGAATGTAAATGATACCACGGTCCTTAGGAGCATCACATCCAGAATGATAGTGTAAGAGCCCTGTATGCGACTAACAATCTCTCAATGCAGCATGGAGGACTCAGATCTGTGTCTTGTACTGGTATTGAAAAGGTTTGAGAAGTCACCTCCAGGAGGTGCTGGAAATATCAGAATTTTCTTCTTTCACTGGACCTGCGCATGCGTGTATACAGGCTAGTCTATTCTAGTATTACTGCCTGTCTGTATGTCCGTTCTCCTAAATATTAACCTTAAATATGTTTATTAGGGGTCATGTAATAATGTAACAACGTATTTAATATACAAGAGCAGATAACCCCCCTGTTAGATCTACATTAAAATGCCATCACCCACAGGAAGGCTGAATGAGTGACAATATTCAATGACAATGTATAAAACAGAACAAAATTTTACCACTGATAAAAACTGTGATCCATGTCCCAGGGCATTTGGGTGGCACCAGATTATTTTGCTAATTCAGTCTGGGGGCATTCCGATATTAGTGGATAAGAGTTTGCAGAGTTTTTTATTTGACTTTACTAGGAATTCAATATTTTTAATTTCTTTTTGAAATGGTGAATTGTGATAACCTGCAAAGTGAACTTGTTAAACTAATGTCACAATTAGTGATGTCCCGAATGGTTCGCGAACGGTTCGCCACGGACTCATCATTGATTAAACTTTGACCCTGTACCTCACAGTCAGCAGACACATTCCAGCCAATCAGCAGCAGACCCTCCCTCCCAGACCCTCCCACCTCCTGGACAGCTCACTAAGAATGCAGCTTCACAATGGATGCCGTCCAGGAGGTGTGAGGGTCTGGGAGGGAGGGTCTGCTGCTGATTGGCTGGAATGTGTCTGCTGACTGTGAGGTACAGGGTCAAAGTTTACTCAATGATGAGTCCGCGGCGAACAGTTCGAGGCGAACCGTTCGCGAACCGTTCGGCGAACCATTCGGGACATCACTAGTCACAATAATCACAATGAGTACATGATCCCTATTTTAGTCACTTTTTTTTTTTTTTGTATATCAGAATTTTCATGACATTCAGGAACATAGTGTATAATAAATTACAATGTGTAGAGAGAAACAGAGGCTCGCAGGTCTTCGTTCAATTTGATTTTAGTCACAATTTGCCTCCCTCTCTTGACACATCAAGAGAATTAATTATCTTAACATGCAGCCAAAATCAGGTGAATTTACCTTTTAGAAAATGATAAAGTAACAGCTACACATGGCTTGCCCCAGATGGAACGTGAACGGTTATTCAATAATAAATGTGTGTGAGAAAATGCATTTAGTCACAGTACAATATTTACATTTCAGGAGGCGATATAAAAACTGACGGATTCAGCATTGAGACCTGCAGGAATATTGTTGACCTGCTGGATGTATCCTTTGAAAAACTTCATTGTGTCTTGAAGTTTGACGTTTTACACTCTTACTGCAGTGTCCCAATTGGTCAGACCAGATTCAAAAATGTTCGTTATTCCAGATGGCAAAGGGATCCTGTTAAAACGGGTTCATCTTAACAGATAACTGCTCCTAAAGAAATTAATATATAATCCACCATAAACGTATTGATTTCAGCACATTCATATTAGAACAGAGTAAAATCGTTCATTTTACTCCTATATTCCTCTGGCTAATGTGAGTCCTGCATGCTAAAGTTGTAGTCCCCTCCATGGCAGTGCATTGCTGTAGTTGCTGTGATGCCGAGTTGGAAAACCGCCTATAGGAATTTCTCCTGTTCTACCCTGTCACAGACTTTGCTTTTTTTTTAATTTACACTTTATCAAGTATTTATGAGAGCAACAATTATATTTGATTTTTTTTTTTTTTTTTTAATTGTTGATGGAAGCGTAACTTAACTTGATATTAGCTGATAATCTTGTAAGAGCTCATGAGCCACATGGCCATCCTGCATGGCACCCCTACATTTGATTTTTACATTTTTTTTAATTTTTTTTAAATAATCTTTAATGTTTACTATGACAGTTAAACTGTGATGGTTAGCAAAGAAGTAGCTGACTTGACTCCCAATGTTGCCTACCACGCTGCCCTCTGCAGGATTAACGTGGAATCTTGCAGACTCTAGGTATTGTATAAAATGATTGCCCAAACCTCTTGTAAACACAGATCCCACGAACAAGTAATTAGATCCACGCCAAATGGCTGACTACACCGACAGACTGAGTTGTGGTCACTTGACAGGAAAATTACAATGTTTAGTCTGAAATTGCCAAACTGGGGAAAAAAATCACAAATTGTAGATATTTTTTTAATTTTATTTTTGAAATATTTTACAATATGTCGGTTTCTGCCAAAATGCCTTAACTAGGTGATCAACTCACGTAAACTCTCTGTTAAAGATGAATCCCTAAACATTACCAAATAAAACTGATAGTGGTTGGTTCTTTAAAGTGCACTTGTCAGCTGATACAAATATATTGATCTAGAAAGATGTCTGTATCACGTACCGCCATGCTGTTATTTCTCCTTAATTCATTACTTTTCCTGCAGTCTGATGGGTCTGGAAAACTCGGCCTGAAGGAATTTAACATCCTCTGGACAAAAATACTGAATTATCAGGTATGTTTTCTTTTTCTTTATTTAATTTTTTTATTTGAATTTTTATATTTTTATTTTATATTTGTTTTATAAGCTTTACTTAAGTTTTCTTACTTTAATATGTATCAATATTATTATTATATTATATGGCGCCAACATTCTGCAATGCTGTACAATAGAGTAAATACAGACAAATAATAAACATGTATGGAATCGATAAATGGATAGATAGATAGAAATGATAATTAATACTATTTTTAAAGTGAACAGGGGGAGGGGTCAGGGACCTAAACTTTTTTTTTTTAAACTATAGTTTTTAGGAATATGTTTGTTTTACATGTACTGTATTTAGTTGTTGCCAACGTTGTCATTTGCCTGTTGTAGAGAATTTACCGCAGCATCGATGTGGACAAATCGGGAACAATGAGCTCGCATGAGATGAGGAAAGCTCTGGAATCTGCAGGTAGGAAGGGTTCTAGAATTCATTCAGTCAGATTACGTCTGGAAATCTGGTTAGTGTATCTTTATGTGCATTTCGATGGAACGTTCAAATGTAACAAAAACAAAGACTTACAGGGTTACTTACTAAAGTGAGAATTCAAAGGGACACTATAGTCACCAGAACCACTGCTGCATAATGTAGTTGTTCTGGTGTGTATGGTATGTCCCTGCAGGCTTTTTAATGTAAACATTGTCTTTTTCGAAGAATTTAAAGAACACTGGTTTCGGTTTCATTTTGGGGTACCTTAAATATAAGATACAGTTTCTCTGTGTTTAATAGAATTGTGTACTCTCCTTATTATTTTAGGGTTTACGCTGAATTCTCAGCTTCACCAGATGCTCGTTGCCAGATACGCTGATGAAGAGTTGTCCATTGATTTTGATAACTTTGTGAGATGCCTTATCCGCCTGGAAGTCATGTTCAGTAAGTAGCCGGTCTCTGACAATCGGAGCTTGTAGAGGATGTAGAATGTTTATATTCTTTATCAGAGCCTTAACGTGTAAAATCTAATTTTCTTTACTTTGAATGGAGCAGCAGGGGCCAAGCTTTGGGTGTCAGGAGAAATCTTTTATCCAGCTTCCCAAATTGTTTGCTAAATACTCGGTATACACAAAGAGAATCCTCCCATTATAACTGCTACTATCAGCTGTAGTTGTTATGGTGCTTAGAATGACCGTTCATTCAGTTAACTCTTTACGTGCATTTTCTCTTTGTTCTGCAGAACTGTTCAAAAAACTGGACAAAGATAACGATGGCGTGGTGCCTCTTACCGTGGAATCGGTATGTATGAAAGAGGAAACTGTAGGATATAAAACATTGGCCTCCATGCCAGTACAATAAAACAAAGAATCTCTGCCCTTGCCATGGCCAATAATGGCCTGTTTGATCCCCTCACTGCGTTATTGACCAAACACGGAATTTACTGAAGAAAACCTGAAAAAACATAAATAATTCCAAATTTGCTATTTTAGCATAACAAATTCCTCAAAATAAAGTTATGTTGCCAGGAGGCCCAGGGGCACTCTCTTATCTTAAGGGGTTATATTGTTATTAAATGGTTTAATCCCAAAAGTTGCGCCGATATCCAGGTCTCCCAGACGGCATCCGACTTCTGAATCTGAGCTACAAGAATCTGAGCTGACGCTCTAAGCCAGTCAGTAGCTTCCCATTCATAAAATGGTACATACCCCGAGAACGGTTAAACCAATTAGGGTACAAGTACACCAGGGGCCTCCTGGCACCATAACTACTTCATTTAGATGAAGTTGTAATGGTGGCCGGATTGTTCCTTTAATTCCCCAAAGTTTGGTGTTTAGCAATTAACCCTTTCAGTGCTGACTTTTTCTGTTCCGTCAAGCTATTAATTTTTACAGAGAGGAAGCCAACGTGATTTAATTAACAGACAAGAATGAGAGAAGCAGGTTATCAATAAATACTGTGTATGCAACATATTTTGCACTCGCATACAATGCGCAATATAATCTGAGTAATTATGTAACCGTAATTGCCGCATCACATTTAAATTAACGAACAGGACTGTAATACTGTATAATTGTGCATGCAGTGTTCTGACATCCAATGTTCATCTGAAATGGACATTGATTGCTGGTTTTGTAACCCAGATGTTTTCTGATTGCTTTTATGTGTTTTTTTGTCTTCCCAGTGGCTGTCGTTTACTGTCATGTGATTTGCGGTGGCTGTAAAAATAAAACCTTTATCCTGACTATGCATCCGATAGCAAGAAAACGGCTTTGCAGACTGTGTAAAATACTGCGGCTTTTATTTAGGAATATGGGTGCCTTTGGGGAAAATATAGTCTATTTTTTATGACATTAATCACTTTCACTGTTCACATAATTTCAAGGAAAGAATCTGCTGCCCAAAGGGGTTAAAAAGTCTAACATACCTGTCCGTGCCACACTTTGGTGGCTGCAGAGCTGAAAGGGTTAATATACAACATAATTAAACTGTTTGTTGTCGAAAAAGGCAGCAGCACCTCTGTGCAATGAATTGCTGACATTTCTACAGAATTTTAAAATATGCATATTTTATATAAATATATATAGAGCGAGAAAGAGATCTTTGCTCTGTCTAAACCGTGAATGTCTTATCAATATGAATGTTTACAACAAGGCTGTCCAAGAAGACCATTGAGCTAGAGCAGGGGTGGCCTCTTATTATCAGTTACCGGCCTTTAGGCTGCCCAAGCATTATGGGACTTGCATTTCTACAATACTTTTTGGCCACTCCTTTGGTTTAAAGGTGTACCTGTAATGTTTAATATGAAGATAAAATGTTATTGCTCAGCATGCTGTAATTCTGCTCTCCGTATAAGAGGAAGGAAAAGCCTCATAGTTTCATAGAGTTGTGCCTCAAATAAGAATTGTGTCTTAGTTTATGCATACATGACATCGGGGGAAAATAAGTTTTTACCGTCCCTTGCATTCCTTTCACTATAGCTTAATGTCACATTGGGCTCAACTAGAAAAACTGCTAAAGTTACATTAGAACCAAGTGTACGTGTTATGGTTCCCACTGGCCCAGGTCTCCACGGTGGAGCCAAGTACACTTGGAAAATATTTCAAGGGACTAAAAACAATGAAACACAAACGGTCGATACTGTTTATATTACTGCCACGTTCGTGACACTTTACCTCCAGCCTGGCATGTGTGCCTGTACTGCCTTACTAAGATGCCCGCGAGGTTAAACTAAGCGTCTTCCATCACAGTTGCAGCTTGGGATTGAGAGTTCCACAGGGAATGTTTATTGCATCCGCAAAGCCCTTAGCAGACCACTCTGCCTACCACAAGTACTAGCATTGGCTGAGACATATTATCAGGAGCGTGTCCGCTGTGAGAATTTACATTTATATATTAAATGCACGTCCAGACACAAGGCAGCCAACCAGGTCTTTATACTGATCACCTGACTTAAAGAAACCTCAGTCATTTGGAAGCAGTCATTCTCCACCCTGTTGGTGATTTGTAATCACTATAAAAGAGAAAGATCGGCATGAGTCAATGAGTTCACGTAAACTGGAATTCTATATTATTTATATATATATATATATATATATATATATATATATATATATATATATATATATATAAAAGCCAAAAAAGTCCTTGCACTCAGACTGACCCTGTTAACCTTCAATGCCGGGTGCTGAAATAGCCACAGCAAAAATATACAAAAATAGAAGAAAGTGGGCTAACTCTCACGTTCTTGTAGTATAAAGTAGAAATCTTTATTGGGAGTTATTCCATAAAATCAACGTTTCAGCCCACGTCCAGGGCTTTCCTCAGGTTCAACAAACAATAAATATATATATGTAATATATTGAAAGAAGCAGTGCCTCAAACCTTCATTCACCATGAATTCCCCACGTTGGTGTATGAGTGTAACATCATTTTACTACAAAATCTCTTTTTCTTTACCTTCCTCGGCAGCAAAGATATAAATATAGTGATTGGCAGAAATCAGAGAATGTAATATATCCTACTAAGCCGGGATTGGCTGGATGGGGTGTGATGTAATGCTTGTGTGGTTTGTAAGAATTCTTTGTCAAATTTGTGTCAATCATTTTACTTATATCCTGTCACTGAGGGATGTTAATTGCTTTCTATCATTAATAGCTGTGTAATTATATATGGCTGCACAATCTTTGAGAATTATTTTTCACTAAACCAGGCGTTATTGGGAATTGGCAGGGAAATTTCCCACTTTGGCCCAAAATAACCAAATTAATAAAAACCTCAAATCTGCTTTTTCCCCAGTTTGGACAAAATTGTGATTTCCCATTGTGTTTTTTTTTTTTACCACAATTCATGGTTTAGTGAATTTACTCCTATGTCAAACACAAGATTGCTATTCACTTAACCTTTATTGATCTTCACCTCACTAGTCATCAAATGTTGCAAAGACCTCGTGGACAGCTCTCCATAGAGAATTCACGGCTACCATTTGAACTTGGTAGACTGTTTCTCATAATACTCAAATAGGTTAACTTTTATTGCTATAGATATAGGGTAGGTCACAATCACCTTTGGAAATCGGATTACTTTAGTGCAAATGCCACATGGCGCACTAAATTTTGCAAATCATGTTCAGTTATTCAAATGTTCAGCCATTTTCTGATTGTTATTATTATTATTATTATGATATTTATAGAGCGCCGTTAAATTCCGCAGCGCTTTACAATGGGTGGACGAACAGACCTGTAGTTGTAACCAGACAAGTTGGACACACAGGAACAGAGGGGTTGAGGGCCCTGCTCAATGAGCTTACATGCTAGAGGGAGTGGGGTAAAATGACACAAAAGGTAAGGATAGTATTAGACTAATGACAGTTGCAGAAGAGGAATCAGTCAGGAGCTATTCCTTCCATGTATAAAGAAATGGTGACAGATTACAGGTTAGAGACCACTTAAAGGGTTTTTATGATTAGAACAATTACCTACTGTATGTAGCAAACAAACTGAATATTTGTAACACAGGAAAAATCATCCGTCACATGGTTGCAATATTTTACATGAAGTAACTAACTCTGGTAGCTGGATAGCAGTTCTTCCATTGACATCAATGGAGAATATTGTTATCAGATTCCCAGGGATATTCTTATCGGTTATACTTGGACCTATCCCAATATGCCTTAAAGGGATAGGGGTAGCACTGATTGCTAAAGTGGGGGGCTATGTTTGTTTTTTATTTGGGCTTGAGGCTTACCTTTTCCTAGAGAAATTATAATAAAACTTTAAAATGTGTCTGTATGTGTTTTATTTCATTCGCATGATGGCTGTGGCTCAGCATAATAGGTACAATGTTCCAAGAATGAGATTATTTCTTTATTCCGTGATGTCAGGTAGACAGAGAATAAATGGATTTCTATATAATTGTGAAAATACTTGTCCCAAGAATGTGTATAATCATAAAATGGCAAATAAATAATAATAAAATAAAACAAAGTGGAAAAATACAAAATACTTAGTCCTTCTTTACCCAAATTATTAATTTCAAATTTGATAGACTACCAGTCGATCCGAGGTAATGAACTTGTAAGATCAGTCAGTTTAAATGGTCAGGTTTTTTTTTTTTTTTTTTTTTCCGTTATATATATTTTTTTACGCTTTGTTTAAAGGGACAATGAAGCAGTTGTGTTGTATAGATCGTGCCTTTGCAGTCTCACTGCTCAATTACCTGCAATTAAGGAGATAAATCACATTATTTATGCAGCCCTTGTCACACCTCCCTGCATGAGACTTAGAAGCCTTGCTAAACATTTCCTGTAGAGTCATCTAATGTTTGCACTTTCTTTATTTGAAATTCTGTTTAATTTAGAATGTATTCTCTCCTGCTCTGTTAACAGCTTGCTAGACCCCACAGGAACCTCTTGTATGTTTTTAAAGTTCAATTTAGAAGAGCAGGAGATACAAACTTTTTAAAGGAAATTACATCTGATTGAAAATGAAACCATTTTGTTTTCATGCAGGCTGTGTCAGTCACAGCCCGGGAGGTGTGTTTAGGGCTGCATAAACAGAAACAAAGACTGTTTTACTCCTAAACGGCAGAGAATTGAGCAGTGACACTGCAAGGGCATGATCTATACACCAAAACTGCTTCATTAAGCTAAAGTTGCCTTGGTGCATATAGAGTCCATTTAATAATCTATTTTAATGCATTTTTTTTTTTTTCCAATCACCATTACTATATTGTTTACAAACAATATTGAACAGTTTAACAACATATGTTTCAGAAGTTGACACTACTTAACGAGGTCTAATAAAATCAAATAAAAGTACATTGATCCTCCTCTCAATCTCTCTCAACAGATATACTAGGTTATGTGAAGGGTTTGCTGGAGCACGGTTGTTGCTGTTGTTAAGAGGCAACTGCCCTAATCTCTGTTGCAATAATAACGCTGTCAGTCATGTGCTTCAAAGTTGTCTCTGGGATAGACTTAGGAGAGCTCTACAACGGTTTGGACGTAAGAAGAGTTTAAGGACTGTGGGGGACGTGTGGAATGAGACCCTAGTGCTTCATGTGAAGGTTATCGTTCATTATGTCCAAATATTATTGAAGAGTCAATTCTTCTTCGTATTATTTCCCTACATCTACTCAGGAATTAACTTTAAGGGAGGGTTTGTAGATTTCTAATGCACGAACCATGAAAGTGAGAATGTGCTGCAAGATAAGATTTTTTTGTGTCTCTTTATGGTGTAAGGAAAGATGTCCAGTAAAGGTTCCTCAGGGAAGGAGAGTATGGAGAAATAGCTGGTACATAGGATAAGTACTTGGACCTCTGCCCAGAATCCGTTGAGAACTGGGCATTTCCAAAAACCAAGCGGCAGGGAGCTCACATCTTTGCCACATCTCCATCAAGTGTCTGATGAGCCTGGATATATATGTGACAATCTGGTTCGAACCAAGTACCACGACATTAGTAGCTTACTGATCGTCTCCCAATGTGTAGAACAATGTGAAGACTTAAAAGCACCTTGGCCGCCACTTCTTGTCATGTTGTTGGTGTGAAACTTTTACAAGAACATTCAAGTAGGGGAGCATTTGGGGAAATAGTGATCACAATATGGTAATGTTTGAAATAAATTAAACCAATGTGTCTTAGTAGGGAAGTAAAACAAGAGATTAAAAATGAGAACACGGCATTTAAATCAGACAAATCAGAGGGATCCTAGATAAGATCTAAGGAAGCCAATAATGCATGCAAAAAGGCAATTAAAGTGGCTAAACTAGAAAATGAGAAATGCAAAACCAACCCCCCAAATTTTTTCAAGTGCGTCAATTCTAAAAAAACTAAAAATGAAAGTGTAGGTACACTGGAAACAGAGATGGGTCTATTAACTAATGAAGACCAGAAAAAGGCTGACATTTTAAATAACCTTTTCTTCAGTAGAAATTATAGGGTCCTATGACAAGAGATATGCAAATGATTGCTGTAAAAAACTTGCAGATAACTTGTGATTGGATGACTCAAGACAAGATGCTACAGTAGTTAAATAAAATTTATGTAAATAAAGCTCCGTGGCCTGACGGTATTCACCCACGAGTACTTAAAGAGCTAAGTGGGGAAATAAGTGAACCTCTGTATTTAATTTATTGAAGATTCTTTTGTTTCAGGTATTGTACCGAATGTTATGCTACAAGGGTTTTTTGGAATTGGAACTCAACTGCAGCTTGTAGAACTCCTTAATTATAATAGCAATGAAGCGGAGAATCTTTCTAACTATTAAGGATACTGTAGCTTTAAAGCAAAGTGGGGTTTGCTGGAAGTAAGTGAATCAGGCAAAGTCTTAATGAGTGCTATAATTTTTAGTAACTAAGGTTTATAGCATGTAAGTAACAATTCAATAGGAAGAACTGCAGGTTATAGCAAGCAAGAAACAGTTCATCAATAAGTAAATCTTCAGAGATGAAATGAATATTATACTTAAGATTGATGGGAATTATCCTCCATAGGTATAGCATGCAAGCAGCAATGCAGATTATAGCAAGCAAGAAACAGTTCATTAATAAGTAGATCTTCAGAGTTGAATTGAATAGTATACTTAAGATTGATGGGCGTTATCCTCCATGGGTATAGCATGCAAGCAGCAATGCAGATTATAGCAAGCAAGAAACAGTTCAGTTGTAATTGAGACTCCAGAGAGTAAAGTAAATTTTATACTTAAGATTGAGGTGAGTTGTCCTCCATGGGATCGGATAGTTAGAGTCCAAGTAATAAATGATAAACATAGACCGGTTTACAGGAGCCAATAAGGGATGGAAGGCACAATCCTTATATCATAAACGGAGATTGTGTAGCTGGCGTCTGAACGCGGAAGTAGGTCCGAGAATCACCAAGCGATTTGAATCTGGCGCGGTCTCTCTAAATAGCGTAAGAGAGCCGCATCAGAAAGGGGGCGGGGCCGGCTCGGCATACTGGAAACGCCGGAGCCGGAACAGATACAGCATGACACCGAAGGATTGAAGGAAGGCAGATGTCGTTCCTCTATGCAAGAAGGGTTCAAAATATTTGTGCTTTTCTCTTCAAAATCCTTGCCTGGAAAATATAGACCCGTGAGCTTAACTTCTCTGACTGGGAATATATTTGAAGGGCTATTAAGGGATAATATTCAGGAATATATTGGCAAGAATGTTATTAGCAATAATCAACATGGTTTTATGAAACATAGGTCATGTCAAACTAACCTAATTGCATTCTACGAAGAAGTATAGATCAGGGTGTTGTAGTGGATGTGATCCACTTGGATTTTGCCAAGGCATTTGATACGGTTCTTCATAATAGGTTAGTCTTCAAACTAAAAGAAATTGGTCTAGAGATGAATATTCTTGTTCTTGGTTAGAACATTGGCTTAAGGACAGAGTACAACAAGTTGTCATCAATGGTAAATTTTCAGGCTGGACAAAAGTGGTAAGTGGTGTCCCTCAGGGTTCTGTTTTGGGACCACTTCTATTTACCATATTTATAAATGATCTTGAAATAGGCATTGAAAGCCACGTTTCAGTGTTTGCAGATGACTCAAAACTTTGTAAAGTAATAAAATGTGAGCAGGATATTGCTTTGCTGCAAAGGGATTTGGATAGTTTAAGGGGACTGGGCACTAAAAGGGCAGATGAAATTTAATGTAGAGAAATGCAACATTATGCACTTCGGGGTCAAGAATGCACAAGCATTCTAAATAGTCTAAATGGTAGTGAATTAAGGATAACCACACACAAGACGTATTTGGGAATTGTTATGGACAACAAATTAGGCAGCAATATGCAATGTCAATCTGCAGTTGCTAAGGCCAGTAAGGTTTTGTCATGTATAAATAGGGGCATAAATTCTCAGAATGAAAATATAATTTTGCCTCTTTATAAAATCGCTGACACCTTGAATATGCTGTGCAATTTTGGGCACCTGTTCTAAAGAAGGATATTATGGCACTAGAAAAAGTGCAGAGACAAGCTACAAAATTGATAAAAGGAATGGAGCATTTTAGTTATGAATAAAGTTTAAAAATCTTTAGTATGGAAAAACAGCGCCTCAGAGGGGATATGATAACATACAAATATAGTCAGGGCCAGTACAAACCATTATCTAGAAATCTATTCAGAAACAGGGCTATACATAGGACACGAGGTCACGCATTTAGGCTGGAAGAAAGGAGATTTCATCAAAGGCAAATAAACGTTTGTTTTTTACAGTAAAAGCAATAAGGATATGGAATTCTCTGCCTGAAGAGGTGGTTTTGTCAGAGTCTATACAGATGTTTAAACTGCAATTGGATAAATACTTGCTGAAACATAACATACAGGGATATAATTTCTAATTAGTGGGGTAATAGCTGCTTGATCCAAGGAGACATCTGACAGCTATTTTGTGGTCAAGAAGGAATTTTTTCCTTGATTGTTGCAAAATTGGAAGCGCTTCAGACTGGGTTTTTTGCCTACTTTTGGATCAACAGCAAAAACATATGTGAGGAAGGCTGAACTTGATGGATGCAAGTCTCTTTTCAGCTATGAAACTATGTAATCCTCTTAATGGAAAGTGGGGCTTGAAATCCTTCCAGCAAATTCCTGACAAATCCTCTAATTCCTCCCCTAAAGCAACATAGTTTACCTCTAACAGGGGACCTGTGACCTTCCCAAAGCCTACATTTCATAAAGTAATTAAACTCTGGAATGGAGTCTGCTGATTAATCTCTACATGGAATCAGGCAAATCACAAAATGACAAATGTTATTTATTAGACTCAATATATACCCTCCAGTTGTACCTCCTTAGGATATAATTTTTTTTTTTTGTTCCTCATATATTGGCACCTCTTTGTAACTAGAAGCGTTCCATTGCTTTAAACACATGGTAGAAAGTAGGTGGTGTGTACGAGTGTACCAGCGTTTTACAGCATTCAACACATGGTGTGTCTTGTATAATTAAAGGCAAGCACTGATTTAATAGTCTGATCTATAAAACATTTTTATAATTTAGAGTGTTGTGTGTAAACAAAATAATCTTAAAGATGTCAATAAGGCCATAAGGCTGCCTAGAATAAATTCTTCCTTCGCCATTTGAATTGTCAGCCAGCCAGCACGTGCAAT